CATGAGGTCCTCCTTCTGTTGGCACAGATCACTCAGTTTTCACAGAGTGGAAACCTTTCAAATGACAATAAAACACAAACACTTGAGTTAAGATGCGGTGGATCACAGTTAATCACAAATATCGATCAGCTGTCAGGATAGGTGCATGATTGTCTGCTTCAGTTGAGGACTGGTTTGAGTATCAAATGAACAATCTTCTAAATGACAAATATCTGTCTACACATTTTGTAAACGTCACGTTATCTTAACTTGAACTATCACGAAGTCTTGATGGACAATGTATTAACTAACATTAACGCTGCGCATTACACTAACGCATATCACTTAAACTGGGTCACATGTGGAGAAACACAAACCAAACGTCGTTAGATTAACGTCGATTAAATTCACCTTTTCATTGGGCTTTGACTGAACACCTCCACGGGCTAACCCAGGTTGACACAGGTTATCAGCCCAGCGGGGCCAGGTACCATTAGCATAGCAATCGCTAAGTTATCAGCTAACGCTAGCACTAGCTGGCTAGCTTGGTTAGCAAGGTGCATCTTCACCTGAACTGTGATATTAACAGGGAAGCTAATCTTGGCTAGCAAAGAAATAGGCTTAAAACAAAATGTATTTACCGGAAAAACTTGAACCGCTGACTCCTCTGAGTGTCTTTGAGAACAACTGAACACTGAACAAGACACTTTCAGGCAAACAACATGTTGGAGCTAACTTTGATCAACTTAAAACACAATGACACGTCAACGACCGAATCACAGCCGTGCTGATTTTAAATACATCACTCCCCTTCTCATGTGATGTTCAAAAGTAATCACTCACCTTTCAAGGTGTTACACCACATTCGGACCGCACGAGGGCGCTGTTGCATGGATGTTGCTATTCATGTTGAAAAATGCCACAAATAAAAAATAAAAAAATGACATGTGAACGTGAATATTTGCTATTTTACTCAATATATGTGTATTTTTGGCAGGTGGTCAGATTAAACAAGATATCAGAATATATTCACATGGGTTTCAGGACATTTTCACTGTTTTCTGATATTTTATACACAGAACAACCATGTGATTATTAAAGAAAATAACTGTCAGNTTAACAGGGAAGCTAATCTTGGCTAGCAAAGAAATAGGCTTAAAACAAAATGTATTTACCGGAAAAACTTGAACCGCTGACTCCTCTGAGTGTCTTTGAGAACAACTGAACACTGAACAAGACACTTTCAGGCAAACAACATGTTGGAGCTAACTTTGATCAACTTAAAACACAATGACACGTCAACGACCGAATCACAGCCGTGCTGATTTTAAATACATCACTCCCCTTCTCATGTGATGTTCAAAAGTAATCACTCACCTTTCAAGGTGTTACACCACATTCGGACCGCACGAGGGCGCTGTTGCATGGATGTTGCTATTCATGTTGAAAAATGCCACAAATAAAAAATAAAAAAATGACATGTGAACGTGAATATTTGCTATTTTACTCAATATATGTGTATTTTTGGCAGGTGGTCAGATTAAACAAGATATCAGAATATATTCACATGGGTTTCAGGACATTTTCACTGTTTTCTGATATTTTATACACAGAACAACCATGTGATTATTAAAGAAAATAACTGTCAGGCATATTGATAAGGAAAATCATTCTACTTCTGAGATTGAATAATACCACCTTGCCAAAGATTTGTATGTGTGTGTGTAAATATTTGACACAGAAAAAAAATTAATAATTTGATAATAACAGAACTTTAAAACAAATGAGATCAATGTAAACTAAAATAACTAAGGACAACAGAGTCACAAGATGGAGGATGAATCTGGGGCCCTTGAGGGTCTAGGACCCCAAAATCTAGTTAGCAAAATATTTTTTAAATTATTTAGTCTTTAAAGATAAATAACCATTCAGTGGTCACAGAATATGATGTAACACCAGTGCTCTATAGAAAAAAAGGACTCACACAGATTAAAGAATGATAAAAGTTGTATTGTTTCAGCTCCAGGGTTTCATCAACTTCCTCAAAGTCCTAGTAAAAGGTTCTGCGCATTTCAATGTACAACAAATCTGTAGCCAAGAAGTAAACACACTGTCCCCCCCCACACACACACTCTGACGTGAAGTGCTTAACAATGTCACACTATTATAACTTCATCTCATTTAAAGAGTTTCATTTAAAGTTTGATACATAACGATTCAAAAAGTTTAGATTATCTGGAGTTTTAGCATTAAAATACAGTGAAATGTCATAAAAAGCCGCAACATATTCACAGAATTCAAAATAATGGCCTTAAATTGGAAGAAGATTTTATAATCAGTTTTTTTTCTTCTTCTAATTTGGATGAAATCTAAAAGTTCAAAACTGCTTTCACAACATTTCTACTCTCCTTGGCTACATCTAGATAGAGACATGCTTGAACTAAACCAACCACAAGATGTCAGCCTTTCACTGTCTCTAAGCACAAAGCTGAAGAAATGAGTTCTCTGCCCTCAGATGGGGAAACTTGTCCTAACTCATCTTACCTACTGGTTCTACAATACTGTACATTTCTAAACACAATGTTAACAGAAGCAGGTACATCTACATCCAGGTCATTTTCTGTAAGATAAAAAAAAAAGTCTATTTTCTCTTTTCAAGGATCTCAGTGGGAATGCAGCAAATACTCCAGTTCTTGAAAAGGATGAGCACAAGAGCTGTTGTTAAAGGACCTGGACGCCCTTTCGAAGACGCTAACACAATAAATTACTGAGCTAGAAAAAACCACTTCTTTAAAATGAATGTGTAGGTTTGAATGTGTACAATCATAAGAGTGAGCCAGCTCACCATGTCAGAGGTTTCGTGTTCAGTCCCGTCACCTGAAAAGTTGCTTCTTTCCCTCATGTAGAGTCACATGAACCTCACTTCCTCTGTCGCTGTGCAGGATACGTCAAAAAATGTCCACAGAAGAACTGAAGCCGATCCAAATAAGGCATCAAGACATTAGTACAAAAAATAAAACTGTAATTCTGCTAGCAAATATTTTACAAAGGCCGACTGAGCAAACATTTTGTTCTCTGACGAAACATTACAAAACTACAAAAAAATTTTATTTTATTGTAAAGGGTGATGCCGTTTTAATTCCTTCTCTTTGTAATAAAACTCTCCAGGTAATTCAGACTTTTTCAGCCAATGAGGAGACAGCTGTAGATGTGATGTCGAACGCCCCAGAGTCCTGTAAGGAGTCTTGATTGAAGCAGTTGACACCTCGTCATCCGGCGTCTCCTCTGAGAGCCGGGTGTCGCTAATTCTCCAAATGCAAAATAACAAGCTTTGTGAACGAAAAGAGAAAGAAACGATCACATGGAGAAATCTGTAGAAACACAGTGGTAGTGGTAGTCACGTGGTGGAAGGGTTAATTAAGGTTGTGAGGTACACTCGTACGGATCTGAGCAATCTGATGATCAATCATTTCCATTTCCATGTCAGATAATTAATATTTGTAATTTCTCTGCAAGTGATACTTCATCTATCTAGTTTGCACGAGAGGAGTTTTCCATTCTGATACCAGCTGCAGATTTATTTGATGATTAATTATTTTTTTCAAGTACTCCACTTAAATTAAATGTGGGTTCTTTAAAGAGACGGATTAAGAAAAGAAAAGTCAAACTCAAAGCAGCAGATGTCGGGGGTTCCTGACTTTCAGCCGCTGGGTCAAGCTCCAAAAACACTACATACGACACTTCCCATAATGCATCTTTCATTAGAGCCTCGTTGCCTGGTAAACACCTACACTTTTTAGACTTTATGACCACAGTTTGTGATGCAGGTTTTCTGTTTTAAATCTGTATTCTGAGGACATCACTGTGACCAAACTCCTCCAGAGCCGCAGAAAACAAACTGGGCTCACATTCCAGCTCGGAGCAGGAAATCAGTCCAAATGTGGTTTTTTACTTTTTTGGGCTGAGGAGTAAAAGTGTTTCCACTTTCTGAGCTGAGGAAATCTCTCTGATCTGAGCTGATATGTAGGAGCGCTGCAGAGCTGATTCACCTGTTCACAGGAGGCAGAAACACCTGTGTGAGGAGAGACTGTCAAGATTATTGAAGGACGCCATTTTGACAAAAACTGAGTGACTTTTTTGTGAGTGGACTTTGTTCTGTGTACAATCCTCCACAATCCAAGCAAGATGCAGCACTATTATAGTTATTATAAACCAGTGTGATTGGACAGGGCTGAGTCTATTCATTTGTATTTGGATTCATTTTTAAGCCATACGAGTGGTTCGCCAGGTCTACTATGCAAATGAATAATATAATTATGAGATTTAAACTTTGTATTAATCTTGGTAACAAATGTTTGCACATAAAACCCCCACAGAATAAAGTTTTGCTACTTTCCACTGTCTAATACTGTAAAACAAGGACGTCACACTGAAGCCCAGGAGTCAGGGCTCTGCTGCTGAGTCAGGAAGCTTCCTACTGTAAATCACTAAAACAGGTTTTAATCCTGTGACTGAGAATCTTCACTGATGTTTTCAAACCTTTTACCTCCTGCAGGTGAAAATCAAACGCCCACAGTGACACTGTCACTGTCGCTTCACATGGAAACAGATTTAAATATCTAAAGGAGGAAAAATGCTTCTTACAGCCGTTACAAAACTTCTTAGAAAGTTACTAAATTTATCTCTTAAACTGACAAATTATCACCAATATCGGTGTTGGCGCTGAAACTGGTACCACATCTATAAGCAATTATTGCTCGACACTGATAATCTGACTGATAAATCATATTGTTCCTAAACCTTACTGGTAAAATCATCCAATAAATGGAGAAGTAACATCATCAATAAACTGATGATCTGCTTGTTTCATGAAACGTCTGCCGCCTGTGTTTCCTCTGATGCTGTGCTTGAGTCCTGGTTCAGGTTCTTGTCGGTGCACAGAGCCGAGGCCTGCTCCAGCAGCTGGACCAGGTACCTGTCCTCAGCCGCCTCTGCTGCCGACAGACCCTCAACATGGGCCGGGCCCGACCCCGGCGAGGACGCCTGGACTACAGGCACTGAACAAGTCCGAGGGATCCCGCAGGAGGACTGGTCGGTGACGGATGCAGAGGAGTCATCTGTAGAGGTCGGCAAAAGTGCGTCTGTAATCTGTGGAGCTGAGCGAGGTCCTGTGGAGACCGGTTCATCCCCCTCCTGATCCGGCAGAGACGGCTGATCCACTGTGACCAGGGTCTGGCTCCCTGGGGGCTGGTAAGGCGGAGGCCCCATCAGTGGGGAGCCGTCGGGGGTGAGCGGAGCCTGGCTGTGGATGATGATGGGGTCTGGGGAAGGCAGAGGGGCCTCCTCCTCCGCGGCGTCGAGATCCTTGGGGTCCTTGGAGGGGCTCTGGTCAGGGGAGATGGAGTCCGGCTGGTGGGAGATGATGTGGAGGCTCAGACCAGCTCTGGGGAACCCGCTGGCTGAGGACGACTTCCCTCTGGAGGACTGGACCGGACTCAACAGCACCGGCAGCTCCTGACCCAGAGGCTTACGAGGCAGTTCCTCAGGCTTCCCTGAAAACAACCAGGAGCACAAAGACTCTTAAGAACACAACACGGCTCCAGGGTCGGCAGCAAGAGTCCAGAACAGGTGTAACTCAGGTTTGTACTTAAGACCAGACTCTCAGCTCTGTGCAGCCGTGTACCTGGAGGAGGAAGGTCCAGCTTCATTTTTCTCAGCTCAGTCATGGAGTCCTGAAGCTGCTCCACGATCACGTCGTCACTGTAGAAGAAAGTCTGAGCGATCCGCTCCTGCAGAAACTCTCTGAGCTCCTCCAGGGACATCTTCACCAGACGCTCTGCACGTACAGAGAATACACCGTTTATTTGTTAAAGCCACATAAACAAACTGCGATGTCAACTTCACCTGAATCATGCATCTCTCATCAGCTGTGCAGGACTGGGGCTCCGTATTGAACATTTGCCAATTTCATCTTTATCTGATTTGAGCCGTTCTTGAACAGCTGTTTGTGTTCAGATGACACAAACAACTTTATATTCTTTTGTCAAATGAAGAAAAGGTTTTGCACATAAACATGTTTATATTCTTTAAGATAAGGTATCCAAAAACATTGTGTATAAGTATCATCACTATAAAGGTTTACCAACTGTGTTTGAAAATATCGATAAAAATCAAAGATACGAGAAGCCTGAGGACAGAAAGACTAAAGGAGAGAAGTCGACTGCGACTCCCAAGGCGCATTTCAGAGAGAAACATCCAATCACAGAGCTTCAAATTCTGTAGCAGGGTCAGTTGTGTATGAATTTGGTAACAGCTGCTCATCCCACTTCTCAGCTCTATCTAGGACACTGTGTCGACCAGAATCAGACTGGTTTATTACACAGACACTTAGGCAGCGTTCACAAGCTCATGTGAACACATTTAGTTTTCATCAGTGTGATGTTAAAAGAGCTCAAAATAAACAATGACTTTGAGTTATTGCTGTCGGGATTTTCTCACAGTTGCACTTTGACAGACTTTAAGAAAAACCAACCAACAGCTGAAAATCTTCAGAATCAGTTCATTTAAACAGTTTGATAAAAAGCTAAAGCTGACTGGTGTTTGTGGTCGTGACTAACAGCCTGAGTAGATAATGATTTCTCTCTCTGTGGTGAACTGTGCGGCGACTCCTTACTCTTGTGTATCTTCAGGATGGTGTAAGACATGGCGGTCAGCAGCCTCTCTCCCTCCAGGATGAAAATGTCCCACAGACGAAGGGTCAGGGTGAACGGCGTCTGCAGGATCACAAACACGACAAAGTCACCATATCGCTGCGAGTCAGCTCGGTCTGTTTACGCCAGCGGTTTTTCACATGTTATGCAGTTCTGGTCCTGGCCGGAGTCAGGAGGTTTCTTTGGTTCTGTGCCAGACCTCAGAGGCCCACGGGCCCCTCAGAGCCGAGCTAGTCAGCGGGACGGAGAAGTGCTGACAGCAGCCGAACCCTGCCAGACCACCACCACAGGATTGTGGGCATGCATGGAGGAGACTAATAGCAGTTTAGCTTAACAGCTCTTAATGCTCTCTTCTAATGCAACGTCCCCGAGCTCAAATATCAGCAGGACGGTTTCTGCTGAAATCATGTAAAATTATATTTAAAAAGGCAAATTGACAAATTTCTTGTTTCAGTCATTCTCAGTAATAAAGGCTGTTGTGCTTTTAGGTTGAACTTCACCGTGATCTTCTAACAGTGTGCGCACTAATGTGATGTTTTCTGTTGTCTCTGTAGGTGGCACTCTTCACTAAGAGGTGGACAGCGGTGCTACCGCTAAGTGGCTCTTCCTCTTCTGTCCTCCAAACTAACTGCAAACTAAACCTAACTCCTCCTGGATTAATCTAAGGAGAGATTTTCAAGTGACAATAAACCTGGATCATCAGCTGATCCACAGTCATGTTATAATCAGGTACAGAAGAACATCACGCACATTCTTATATTAATATCATATCAGGGTTTGTTCTGACTTGTGTGGTTGTTTGTGCAATTTGTAGTTACTTTAACATTAACCATCTGAGGGCAGTGGATGTTTCTATTAATATCTCTGCGATAGTACATTATAGAAATATGGTTTGAATGTTGTTAGAATCTGTAGATTCTTTCATTCTTGCGAGATCATACGTGACTCATAGCCTCTAAAATCTGGTTAAAGTAGAGTGACGGACGAGACTACGACTCATTTCAGGCATTTATTATCCATTTATCTACTATTTTATTTCTGTAAACCACTATTTTTATGAACGTATAGACTGTGGTGAACACAAAAACAGTTCGTAAAGGTTTGTTTTCACAAAATATTTGAAGAATTTGGAAAAACTAGGCTTCAATTTTTCAGCATTTGTGCCAAATGATCTCCTTGTGACAAAAAGGGGCTTGATGACAGAGAGAGCTCAGATTGTTCTGAAAACTGTGACATAACACACCTGGGTGCTATGTTTTATGCAGGTACCATTTAAAGGTGAATTCAACAAATAATGTAGAACTCGAGGAGATGCCCTCAGACGTCAGAGGGTTAACGGGTGTGAGTGTTTGATACTGACTGAAAACAGAAGAGAGTTTTTCACATATGACACAGACAGTTAAACAGCTGGTGGTTGACACATTGTTTGGCCTTTGCATGTCGCTCTGTGAGTCTGCACATCGCTCAGAGTTGTGATATGAATCACACGGTGCTGAGGTTAGAGGACTACCTGATATTTTGACTGTCAGGACGAACACGACGCTGCGTTTGCAGGAGCAGCTGATGATTCAGCAGCAGTTGAAATATCATGAACTTAAACTCATGTTACGCTGTTACTTTAACAGTCTACACTTACTGCCCTCTGCTCTCTGAAGCTTCTTCCTGCTACTGAATGTGGTAAACTGATGCTTTGTAGACTTTTTGAAAAGGAGTAGTGCAGAGGTGGACAGGGCGGCTCCTAAATCTAGATTAGCAGCTCGAGGTGGAGCTAGTTTTAAATGTTAAATCAAAGTCGAACTACAGCACTGCAGGATCTACTGAATATAAACATGTTGTTGCAAAAATATTGTTTGATTTTTCTCTCTTTTCCGTTAACGGGTAAGTTTATTTTATTTTAATCTTTGATCTCTTACTGTGTAGAGTTGTTTAAATTTTTAAATCTAAATACAAACTTTATATGTTAATAAACCATTAAAAAGAGAAGTTGAGATCCTTCGCTCTTCTGCTCACCAAATACGACACTGTCATTAAGACATTAGATACAGAGGGAATCAATCACACGTTCCTCACCCTGTCAATGAAACACTGGAGGAACCATTTAGTGCTGTAAATCCCTGCAGACATCTGCTCCCTGTCCTGGAGGGAGCAGAGAGAGAGAGAGAGGGGGAGAGAGAGAGAGAGAGAGAGAGAGAGACAGACAGGGAGAGAGAGAGAGACAGAGAGAGAGAGAGAGGGAGAGAGAGAGGGAGAGAGAGAGGGAGAGAGAGAGAGAGAGGGAGAGAGAGAGAGAGAGAGAGAGAGAGAGAGAGAGAGAGAGAGAGAGAGAGAGGGAGAGAGAGACAGAGAGAGAGGGAGACAGAGAGAGAGAGGGAGAGAGAGACAGAGAGAGACAGAGAGAGAGAGAGAGAGACAGAGACAGACAGAGAGAGAGAGACAGAGAGAGAGGGAGAGAGAGAGAGAGAGAGAGAGAGAGAGAGAGAGAGTAAACATCCACAGGGCATCAAATCACATTAAATGTCATCACAGATCAGAGTTGTTGCTGCGGTGTCGCTCCCTCGCCCTCGCTCTCTCTTATGAAACGCTTGCGTAACTGTGACCTCACCAGATGTTTCTTCAGTTTGGGGATGAGTTTGGAGATAATCTGATCATGATGCGCCTGGTATCTCTGAAGTTTAGGAAACCCGGGAACAAAAAATCCTTGAAAAGAGAGGAGAGAGAGCAGAGAGGCGCTTTTTTAATCCAACTTAATACGAATGTGGACGGACAGCGCAGCCTGTGATCAGCTGCACCGCAGAGCAGGAGCTGCGCAAACACGACTCTTATTTCGTTCTTCTTCGTAGCATTTCATCTGGAAAACATGCAAGAGGCAGTTTTTTTATTTTCATGTTGTAGATGAGCTCGCTGCGACGTCTCACCGTGCATGGCATGTTTGTGATTGGTCAGCAGCTGTGACAGGGCCCAGAAGGCGTCCTCTTCGTTCATGAACATGAGCAGCAGGGCGGCGATCTGACTCATCCCCTGGCAGTAGCTCACCTCCTGCAGGCGACAGACAGAAAGACAAACAGAGGACATTGCTCAGTTTGTCTATAGCTGCGTTATTTTCTACTCTTTAAATCTGCACAGTCGAAACGTACAGAGTCGACTCTGTTTCCTGTGTCGCTCACAAAGAGGTTCTGTAGTAATGTAACTGGGAACCTTAGAGACATGTTTGTCTGATCCTGAATTATTCTGCACGCCCTCCAGGTCCCTAATGTGAACTAACGTCAGTCGTAAAACACCAGATTTTTTTTAAAGGTGTAGTTGGGGTTAAAGAGACTAGTTTTTCAGGTCATTAAAAAACAATAAACAGTTAAAGAAAATAACGTGTTTGTCATGAAAATGGTGTTTTTTAGCCTCGTTAGCAGCTAAGTTCTGGGGATGGCACCATTTTGATCCAGACTGAAATGTCATTACAACTATCAGATGGATTGATATGAAATGTAATGCAGATATTCAGGGTTCCCAGAGGATGAATCCTACTGACTTTGGTGATCCTCTGATTTTTCATCTAGCGCCATCATCAGGTCAAAACTCTTTGGTCCTGGTTCATGTCAAAACTATTTTGTGTTCTTACTTTGTTTTCCCTGCTAATAAGCAAACATTAGCATGCTAACATGCTAAACTAAGACGATGAACATGATGAAAATTATACCTGCTAAATGTTGCTAAACATGTTAACACTGTGAATTTAGCTAACTCCCAGAGCTGTTACTCTCCTGATGATCTGATTTTAACCCTGTTCTTTTTGGTGTGAATCTAATTTCCATGTTTTGAAGATAAAAACAACATAACGAAGAGACAAGCAAAAATGGAATCAATGTATTGACATATTATTGATATTGCCTGAAAGAAGAATCTATTTGTACTCGATTAAATATCTGTAATTGATCACCTTCGTGTTTTTAATGGTGCCTCCAGTAGAAAACTGATAGTGAGAAACTCTTCACTGATTAAAACTGATGAGGTAATAACTTCCTGCTTCCTGCAGCCTCTGACACAGAGTCAGCATCACACACAGAAACTCAACTGAATCGAGATTTTATCACTTTAATTGAGTTTAGTTTCATGTGATGGAGAGAACTTCTACTTACTGTGTTGTAGACCGAATATGCAGAGAGAACGTGGAAGAGAGACTGCTGCCTGTAGAGAGGAGGAGAGGAGAGGAGGAGAGAGGAGAGGAGGAGAGGAGAGGAGGAGAGAGGAGAGGAGGAGAGGAGAGGAGGAGAGAGGAGAGGAGGAGAGGAGAGGAGGAGAGAGGAGAGGAGGAGAGGAGAGGAGGAGAGAGGAGAGGAGGAGAGGAGAGGAGGAGAGAGGAGAGGAGGAGAGGAGAGGAGGAGAGAGGAGAGGAGGAGAGGAGAGGAGGAGAGAGGAGAGGAGGAGAGGAGAGGAGGAGAGAGGAGAGGAGGAGAGGAGAGGAGGAGAGAGGAGAGGAGGAGAGGAGAGGAGGAGAGAGGAGAGGAGGAGAGGAGAGGAGGAGAGAGGAGAGGAGGAGAGGAGAGGAGGAGAGAGGAGAGGAGGAGAGGAGAGGAGGAGAGAGGAGAGGAGGAGAGGAGAGGAGGAGAGAGGAGAGGAGGAGAGGAGAGGAGGAGAGAGGAGAGGAGGAGAGGAGAGGAGGAGAGAGGAGAGGAGGAGAGGAGAGGAGGAGAGAGGAGAGGAGGAGAGGAGAGGAGGAGAGAGGAGAGGAGGAGAGGAGAGGAGGAGAGAGGAGAGGAGGAGAGGAGAGGAGGAGAGAGGAGAGGAGGAGAGGAGAGGAGGAGAGAGGAGAGGAGGAGAGGAGAGGAGGAGAGAGGAGAGGAGGAGAGGAGAGGAGGAGAGAGGAGAGGAGGAGAGGAGAGGAGGAGAGAGGAGAGGAGGAGAGGAGAGGAGGAGAGAGGAGAGGAGGAGAGGAGAGGAGGAGAGAGGAGAGGAGGAGAGGAGAGGAGGAGAGAGGAGAGGAGGAGAGGAGAGGAGGAGAGAGGAGAGGAGGAGAGGAGAGGAGGAGAGAGGAGAGGAGGAGAGGAGAGGAGGAGAGAGGAGAGGAGGAGAGGAGAGGAGGAGAGAGGAGAGGAGGAGAGGAGAGGAGGAGAGAGGAGAGGAGGAGAGGAGAGGAGGAGAGAGGAGAGGAGGAGAGGAGAGGAGGAGAGAGGAGAGGAGGAGAGGAGAGGAGGAGAGAGGAGAGGAGGAGAGGAGAGGAGGAGAGAGGAGAGGAGGAGAGGAGAGGAGGAGAGAGGAGAGGAGGAGAGGAGAGGAGGAGAGAGGAGAGGAGGAGAGGAGAGGAGGAGAGAGGAGAGGAGGAGAGGAGAGGAGGAGAGAGGAGAGGAGGAGAGGAGAGGAGGAGAGAGGAGAGGAGGAGAGGAGAGGAGGAGAGAGGAGAGGAGGAGAGGAGAGGAGGAGAGAGGAGAGGAGGAGAGGAGAGGAGGAGAGAGGAGAGGAGGAGAGGAGAGGAGGAGAGAGGAGAGGAGGAGAGGAGAGGAGGAGAGAGGAGAGGAGGAGAGGAGAGGAGGAGAGAGGAGAGGAGGAGAGGAGAGGAGGAGAGAGGAGAGGAGGAGAGGAGAGGAGGAGAGAGGAGAGGAGGAGAGGAGAGGAGGAGAGAGGAGAGGAGGAGAGGAGAGGAGGAGAGAGGAGAGGAGGAGAGGAGAGGAGGAGAGAGGAGAGGAGGAGAGGAGAGGAGGAGAGAGGAGAGGAGGAGAGGAGAGGAGGAGAGAGGAGAGGAGGAGAGAGGAGAGAGGAGAGGAGGAGAGGAGAGAGGAGAGGAGGAAAGAGGAGAGGAGAGGACAAAATGATGCCACTTATTTACTCAAGAAATGCATGAGTCACGTGACTCTGAGGTTCCGTCTGTTCTCTGTTCAAACGTTCCACTATAGGGAGGGTTTGTCATTTTGTGGATCGTTTAAACTGGACTGTGACACAAGCAGAGAAACTCAAAGTGAACTCACAGAGAACAGAGAACATGGAGAACCCAGAGAACATGGAGAACACAGAGAGCATGGAGAACAGATAACAGAGAACATGGAGAATACAGAGAGCATGGAGAACACAGAGAAAAGAGAACATGGAGAACACAGAACACAGACAGAGAAGAGAACATGGATAACACAGAGAACACAGACAGAGAAGAGAACATGGAGAACATAGAGAACAGAGAAAATAGAAGAGAACATAGAGAACAGGGAAGAAGAGAACTTATAGAACACAGACAGAGAAGAAGAGAACATAGAGAACATGAAGAACACAAAACACATAGAACATAGAACACAGAAAACACAGTACACAAAACAAAAAAGAACACAGAGAATAAAGAGAACAGAATGTAGAGAACGGAGAACAAAGAGAATCAAAACATAACACAATGCAGAAAGATACGCAGAAACAGAACACTGAGAACACAAACACTGAACACACAAAACACAAACGTCACAGGAAATAGAAAACAGAACACAGAGAACACAACAAAGAGAACGCAACCCACATAACACAACACATAAAAATGCGGATAGGCCAGAACACGGAGAACAGAGAGAACACGGCTCTGCAGCACCACTGCTGCTCTCCGTCTCTATAAAAAGGTTCATTTCTGCAGCGCCACTGATCCTCTGTTAAATATTGAAAGGTTCTGCTGCCCCAGACTTTCCACTGCCGCTCCCGAACAGGCCTGCGGTCTATTAAACTGTCAGTGACATCACTGTGCTGCAGGATCAGGTTCCACACAGACCGCCGACGCAGCCTGCCCACCTCTCTCACACTCGGTCCAGTTCACACCGAGGTCACAGAATCACCGGCTCCGTTCTCCTTCCTCCTGGATCCAAACTCGACTGAACCGAATGAAACGTGGCCAAAAGTATGTGGACACTTGAGCATGTCATGACATTTGACGTGCTGCTGTTTGATGTTATTTTTTCTTTAAATGTTCTACAGAGTGGACATCAAGTTCTGTTTCCTGTGTCGAACCACAATGAGGTTTTGTAGTAACGCAACTGTGGGAACCTTTTGAGACATGTTTGTCTGATCCTGAATTATTCTGCACGCCGTCCTGGTCGCTAATGTGAACTACATACAGTCAGTGTTTTTTATTAAAAATACCTGAATCTTTTAAAGAGGTAGTTGGGATTAAACAGACTAGTTTTTTAAGTCATTAAAAAACAATAAACTGTTAAAGAAAATAATGTATGAAAATATTTTTTTTTAGCCTCGTTAGCAGCTCGTTTCTGGGGATGGCACCAGACTGAAATATCACTACAACCATCAGATGGATTGACATGAGACATTCAGGGTTCCCAGAGGGTGAATCCTACTAACCGAGTCAGGTTCACATCCACCACGTGAACCTGGCTGCAGGGATTTTCTCACATTCAGACACCAGAGCATCAGTGTGGTCAGCCACTACTGTTTACATGGGTGTCCACATACTTTTGACCACATGGTGTTATTCTATTATGAATGAAAAGTTGAATTAATCTCAAAAGCTTAAATCACTCAGTGGTTTTGCTGCTACAGTCGTACTTGGTCTGGTATGACCAGTAGCGTAATCCCTGATTTTTTCTTTCTGCTGTTGCCGGGAACCTCCAATAAACCAGCAGCAGATGATCGCAGTGTTCTTGAGGGCAAATAGTTAACAAGGGAGTTGACGACACAGCTCGGTCCTCGCCCATCAGAGGCCTTGTATAGAGGGAGGAGGACTTTAAAATCAACTCTACATGTAACAGGAAGCTAAATGGACCAATGTGCTCTCTCCTCCTGGTTCTGGTTAACAGCCGAGCTGCAGAGCTTTGAATGAGCCGGAGCCGAAGCCAGAGAAAAGTGCATCACAGATGGAGTCGGCTTGAAATAATAGAATGAATCAGTTATGTAGTTACTTAAACTCGGTATAGTCTAATTATCTGTTCTTAATTTCTTTGTAACTTGAACGTCACCTCCGGCAAAGCCAAGTGGTTCAGAGAGCGATTATAAATATCCGTTCAGTAACGTGAGTCAGAGCTGCTCCACCTGATGAAATAAATGACAGATGGAAAATCTGACCGAAAACTGCTGCGTCCCTAACACTTACTTGACTCCAAAGCGATCCATGAACATGATATGGTTTCGAAAGGTCCTGTTGATGTCCAGGTCGATCTGCTTGATCTCGGATGAGTAGAGTCGGGCCTGCTCCTTCATTTTCTGAGAGGAAAAAACGAGAGGTGAGTCAACATGGACGGGGTCGGGCGGTTGAGAGATACTTGTGACTGAGTGAAGTGGCCGAAATGAAAGAAATAAAATGTGTTTCGATTACAGATGCTTGACAAGAAACAGGGGTTTACTTTGTACTTTTCAAATGAAAGCAGGACACATGGAAAATGTTTAATCCTCATTATTTTACTAATCTGTTCCTTTACGCCTCAGATGTAGCAAAATAAATGGATATAACTCAAAGTAATTAGACTGTATTTGGCCATAAATAATGTGCCAAAAAAAGCATAAAATATTAAATCTGGTTGATTTGATTATTTCTAATAAATCTCAGTTACATTTTCATCTGCTTGTTTTTCCCTCACTGACCTAATCCAGTGCACTTTGGTAAAAAGCCGGTGTGTGTTGCTAATCCTGCTGCGTGTTGTGATGGCAGGGAGGATAAATATGTGTCAGGTCAAACGTTTGGATTTAAATGTCCATCTGCTCCGACGGCTAATCAGAGACATTTACAAATCCAGAAGGGACCCCTGACGTCAGCCTGGACCTTTAGTGGCTTATTCCACATCCAGAGTTTTATTCACAGAGTCTCAACCTTTAAAGCTGGTAAGAGGTTTAAAGTCTAAATCATGTCTGAATATGTAACAGAGTCACAGAAATGTTTATCCAAAAAAAATGGAGAGAACTGAATAAGTTCTTCACCACATTTTGTTGTTTGTCAGAACGTTAGCTAGCAGGTGGAGTTAGCTAGCAGGTGGTGTTAGCTAGCAGGTGGAGTTAGCTAGCATGTGGCGTTAGTTAGTAGGCAGTGTTAGCTAGCAGGTGGAGTTAGTTAGTAGGCAGTGTTAGCGAGCAGGTGGAGTTAGTTAACAATAACACTTAAGTTTCTTTAATGGAAAAATAAACATTTTAGTAAACATTTGTTTACCAGAGTTGCACAAGAATACCGATACCAGTTTCATCTCTGTGCGTCAAAGGTCATGTTATCGTACGGATTAGCCCAGTTTGTAACGTAGTTATTTCTTTTTACTTAACACACAGAAACCTTGATTTTATTATCAATGGATTGGACAATTATTTTCTTTAATAATCCATCCATTGATTGTTCAGTTTATAAATGTCAGAAAAGAGTGAAAGATGTGTATCATTGATGCCCAAGTTAATCTATAAAGTTTATGACAAACAGTAGAAAACATGAAAATGTTAAGTTTTTTTGTCATAAAACATAGAAAATATTTACATTTCAGAAGCTGGAACCAGTGAAAGCTTCTGCAATCATTTAATCAATGAATAATTTCTGCTCCAGAGTACTGGTCGGTCTCTGGGTGCCAGGGGAAATAATGAAACTGACCTGTGTCATGGGGGTCACCAAGAAATGTTTGCCCCAGGCCCCTCGAGGTGGTTAATCCAACAGTGGCCTGGCTCAAAACAAACACTGAAGCAGGGGAAACTTGCTTTTTCCAAAGGAGACAAAATACACCCTTGATGGTCACGTCATGTTGTTGTTATGTAACTCGAGCTGTATTTCTCTGGGTCTAGTTTCTGCTTCTGAAAACTCAACACACTCTTCATCTTGTACATGGACTCTGCACAGAAGTGCTGATGAATGAAAAGGTATTTGTCGAAGCAGCACAAACTGTGAAGGCTCCTCAGACACCACAGTGCGTTTTTTGAAGACTATTTTCCACATAAGTTAAATATAACACATTTGAGAACGTGTGTTTTTTCTTTCCCTCTCCGCCTCTACCTGAGCTGGACAAGCAGCTTCCCCGTTTCCAGTCTTTGTGCTAATCTGGGATAAAGCAGTCCTGGACCTGAATCCATCTTCTCATCTGACTCTAGGAAACTGTCCTTTTAAATAAATAAAACATCTTTTACATATGCATACTAATATTTCTTGTTATGTTTTGTCCAACATATTTGCTGATACTGATATATCTCAAGCTAATTTATCAGTATTTTCAAAGAGAATACACTCATTTATCACATTATGAACAGATACCTCATATTTGCCCTCGTTCTCCTTCTTAGTCCTCTCCACATCCAGCATCAGGGCCCAGGCCCGGCCTCTGAGCTGCAGGGGAATGCCCTTGTACACTCGTTTCACCATCTGACAACAGAGAGAGGGAGGAAAACATAAACACTGAGTGAACGTTAAAGCCAGAGGGTTTGGAGAGCTGACTCTCTAAAATGTGAGTCACCGGAAAGTTTAACCACCTCCTGTTCGCCTACGTCAATATTCACAAGAACAAAACAAAGGTTTTTCACATTTGAGGCATAATCACTGAGCACGAAGCAGGTTTCGTGTGTGTGTGTGTGTGTGTGTGTGTGTCTGACATTGAAGAAGTAACTGCTGGGAGTAATAATGTTATTGTTTACCTGTGTGGGTTAGATGGATTTCAAACATCCCAACGTAAACCCACACGTTGAATACCACAAATTTTAAACTTCAAAAACGACGTTAGCAGCTGTTTCCATCCTACTTCTTCCTGTGGTGGAGCCTGGCGTTCAAGATGAGATCACGGTTTCTGAAATGTTCTTCCATCTTCCATTTTTGTATAATTTTTCTTCATGGACAAAACCAGATTTGTTTGAATCCCTGGTTGGTCATTTACCTTTATCAGGTAAGTTTTGGGTTCAACTACATCAGGCAAGATTCAACTGATGAAGGTCGACAGAAGCAAAATGTTTAAACTACAAACAGGACGAACAAATAACCAACAATGTGCTGGAAGAAAAGAGAGATGAGACTTAAACTTGGAGCTGCATTAATCCATTTATATAAATGTTTTGGTCACTTAGTTTCCTACTTTCACACCCAGCAGTTACAGAGCAACATGGTCGTTCATCTAGAGTGGCGTTCGTGTCCAGTGTTCCCGCTCTTTTAGCTCTGTTTTTGGTCTCCGCCAGTTCCTGAGAAAATCATCTGGCTCTTTAGCTGCTAAATGCTCCAGATTCCTCACCAGCTGCTGTGGTGCTTTTGAAAACAGCTGCCTGCTCCAGCTGGAAACACTAAGACTGAACCATGAATGTGATATAAAAACCAAAAATAGGAGCTAAAAGAGGCTAAAAACCTCCCTAAAGCTGCAGATGATTCTCTGTGTGTTTATAATATGAAAACTATTGATCTAAACAGCCATTAAAACTTTGTCCATCTCGAAGTATCGCCTAGTTTGACTCATATTTTATGGATTACGTTCAGCTCTGATCGGGAAGTCATTCAGGATGAGTGCGGCCTGTAGGAATCCAGTGTCTCTCTACAGTGAAGTGGACCCAGCACTGACAGCTGTGATGATTCATTGTGTGACTTCACAGTAACAATTCTCAGTGACCACATAGAAAACAGCTCCCACTTTACATACTTGTCTGCAGTCGTCTGAACTCTGCAGCAGTGAAGTCATTTTAATTAAAAAACAATAAACATGTTTTCAGTCTCCACATGGTGCAGCTCTGGTATGTGTGGACTAGTTACTCACCCGGTCACTGCTCTTGTATTTCTCCCACTTCTTCACCATCTTTAGCCACTTCTCTGCTCTCTCTATCTCCAGCTGCTTCAACTGTGAAAGGAGACATGAGCTGGTAAACAAAAACCCACAGTCCTCCTTTCCTTAGTTTCCACTGGACAGAAACAAGTGGTTACAACAACATGGCCGTTATCTCTAGAGCAGTAATTCCAGGGGTTATGGTGCTTAAGCAGTTGCCAGGGGGTAGTTAGGCTGTTTGCATAGTTCACATCCTGAGTCAGCTATAACACCTCACTGTATGTTCAGACCGAAAGCAACGAGAACGACAAAGTGACCGGAAGTCATTCACATTGGCGGCGCGTCTTGGGTGGTGTGGGCGTCAGAAATAAGCTGTGTTCCACTTCAGGCGCTGCGTCCTTCGGAGGCTGCATTTGAAGACACATTGCGTCACATTAGCACGAATAGGCTGTCCCATTTCGAAGGCTCCTTCAAATACGGTCGAGAATTGCGTCCTTCCATTCCTTGGCAACGAAGGAACCGACGGGTGGATCCCTCGTGGTCCAACCTATCCCATGATTCATTGCGTGCCAGCAACATAAGCAAACAACACCGACAGTTTACACTGTTAAATGTAAGTATTGAGTTTCAGCTCAGTTCAACAGTTAACAGTACGACTGTTCAAACCAAGGACCTTAAAACTACAAGTTTTTATGAAAAAAAGTCAGGTGTTGTCAAGGTTGCTAGGCGACAGGAGCAGTGCTTTGCGACACAACAGTACAGGCGGGAACAGCTGGTGACGCAAAGTGAAAATCATCCAAAGACCAGACCGTCAGATTTCGGTTTGGACTTTGTGAGCTATGACGCAGTTCAACGGCAACCAATCAAAATGCAGAAGTGCTCCACTGTGGAGAACACGAGAAGTCCCTGTTTGCTTACAGTGACGTAAATTTAAAAAACCAATGCATGGACAGAGGTGTCTGACACTGTAGGTGTTCCAGGTGAGTTGGTGAAGTGTAGCTTATGATATATTTTGTGAAAATAGGAGGGAATTACATGCTAACTAGCGCCAAACGCAAACAGAGCGCCCACGAACTTCAACAGCGTCCTTGAACGAACAGCCAGAGCGATTTCTTTCACTCTTGCCGCTTTCGGTCTGAACGTATGGTTTCCTCTCCACAAGCTAGCAGAGGAGTCAAAATAGTTAGCTAACTAAAAGTAACTGATTAAACTGCTTAAATAGTCGGCTAATAGAGCATAAAAATATTTGAAATAATTAGCTAAAAGTAACATGATGGATGGAGCGCTGAGTCTTTACCTTCACCTCGTGTGCAGTCGGGGCTTGTAGTTCGTCCTCACTGGAAAATAAAAAGACAGAAAGTGAAGAACATCATCAACAAACTGACTGCACAGCGCCACCTTGTGGAAGGAAACTGCTGTGACCAAGTGTGAGGAGAAACACAGGAAGGACTTACTGCATGAAGCCGAAGCGGTCGATGACTTTGTAGATGCTGTAGTCGGCATCTTCCCAGGGGTCGATCTCCACCCCGCCCTGCCTGCCCTGGAGACACAGACACTCACAGACTTACATGGATGCAAAGAGAAAAGCACACACACACTGAAACTGACGATAAAACTAACACTACAATGTTTTAGATTAAATGGAACCAATGAAATCTGCCTCCAAAACTTTTTTCACCTGAGAACAAGGCAGTTTGGGGGTTGAATGTCTCGCTCCAGGGCTAAATTAAGTTAAGGGGAGCAAATGTTGCTTCATTTTGTTGTTCATTCATTCATTTCATTTCATTTATTTATTTATTTGACACAAATCAGAATATAATGCAAGTAAAAACATAGAAATATGAAAATGGCAACGGGCGTAAATGGGACACACCAATAAGGTTCATACCTAATACCTAAAACCCTAAAAAGAGTAAGTGAATGGTCTAAAAACATACTGTATATCCCATCAGTACAAACATGAATTCAATGGGCAAGATACACATCAGAAATAAATGGTTGTTTGCATTTGTGCTAGCTGACAGCTGACGGAGGTTAGAAACCGAACTCTGGTGTTTAAACGCTGCAATAACAGTGTTTAAAAACCAAGACACGGTTTAATCAGGATACATTCACGGATATGTGTAAAAGTTCTGACTCGGATAATGGACCACTGAGACAGCAGGAGGCAGGTTTTTCCATGAATGTCTGTGCAGGATAATACCATGGCAACCCATCCATCCAATCTGACAAAGCCACCTTCAGCGCTACGAGCTGCTAGCATGGCGCGAAAAATTATATTTACTGTAATTACAACACATTTTATTCAGATTCACACACAGTCTGCACACAAACACACACACACACACGGCAGTAACAGTTTTCACGAAAAGGTCTGAACACAAACACTTTTAATGAGTAACTAAATAACTCTAACAGCATGTGTAAAGTCAGACTCCACAGGGAAACTGTCCAACCAAAACACGAGCTCAGAATCTGCATTAACCAGCACAAAGTTTAGGAGTAATGTTTGTATCATGGAAAATCCATTTAAGCAACAATCTGGTCCCAGTGTTGACATAACAGAGAGGGAACTAATCCTCCGACAGCCTACCGGAGAGGCCACTGCTGTGTGGTTGGCTGCCTGTCTGGAAGGCGGCCAATCACACTCCTGCTCTCAGCGAGGAGGAGGAGGGGGGCGCACGGCTTCATCGTGGTTGAGTCGGCACTCTGAGCCCCGGAGGCACCGCGAGTGATGTCAGCGTCATGAAAGTGAGAGGACTAAAAATACTTTCTCACTGAGGGTGTTTGGAGTGGCAGAGAGAGAGAGAGAGAGAGAGATTAGAGCTGTGTTTGAATTTTAAATCTGCCACGCTGATGTACAGTGCTACTACTGCGGGAAATGAATGGACTGAACATTTCACTGAATTAAACTTTAAGCTTTAATGCATTTCCCTGTGGGAGTTTGGACGGTCTACGTTGGGATGAAAAAACCAAATAAACTGAAAGCTGGTATCGAATGTCACATGATGTATGACAATCATTAATAACACCTGCATGGTTTCCTCTGGCAGCATCATGATGCGTCTACCTGTCAGGACACACCTTGACTCCTGTGTGCACTGTGGTGTCAAATGAAGCCAACATCTGTGACGTGGACTTCATTTTTTATGATCAGATAGGGTTAGGGTCCTCATTTAAAACTAAATTTTGCAAGTTTGACCATATTTTTTTCGACTTTACTGGAGTTTCTGTGGTGACACGACATTTCATCTTCATGGCTGGATCAAGATCACCTGACTGTGCCATTAAACAGCTGATAAACCTGCAACAGAGGAGCTGCATTAAAGGATGCAGGATTTTTAAGGGAAGTGCAATGTTCAACATGAATACGACAGATTGAGACTGATGTCAGCTGACTCAGAGAGCAGGAAGTGTCAGGGGAAGAGAGGTGAAGCAAGGTTAAGTTGGTCTGATACATAAATCTGTATGAATCTGTGGCAGGTTTTTTACCCAGAATAAACAGTGGGGGGTGGGGGGGTGGGGGGTGTGGGGGTTGAGCTCTGCTGCTTGGAACTGTGTCTGAACGTGTTTGGAAACCAGCGTCCATACACAGAGACCTCACTGACGCGGGAGTTTAGCCAGCCGCCGGAGGTTGGTCGTCAAGTCAATCGCGGCGCGCATGTGTCACAGCTGTTGCTATGGCTAGACAGACCCCCCCCCCGCCTTCCATGCCCACCCCATCGCCCCTCTGCTCCGAGCTGCTGAGCTATATTTAACCTCCGTCTGCCACCGTCTCCGTTCCCCCAGTGTTCAACGCTGCATCGACACGTTCACCGCTGTGAGCCTCTCGTTCCTCCGCTCATCAAGGCTTTTACTTGACATTAGATAACACTTGTCTTTTTGCTCATCATACTCAAACTGTTACTAACTTTCTAAGAGGCTTTTGCAGAAGAGGTAAGAGTTGAGTGTGGTGACGTCAAAGTCATGCAACCGACAAAAATCCCGTTGGCTTTTTGTCGAGGGAACCAGGGAGATGTTAACTTCCTGGTTGGCCAACAAAAACACATCATCCCTGCAGCTCTCAGTTTATACATTTGCACTGAATAAAAATATAAATGCAACACTTTTATTTTGAAAAAAAGGATATTTATTAGATACTGAACTGTGTGACTTGGGCTCCAGATGTGCATTTTTTGCAGGGATCAGTATCTGGTGTGACCGACATCAGAGTTAATGAAGTCGTTGATTGTTTGACCGTTTCATTTTCAGTGTCTGTGTGAAGTTGCTTGATATTGGCAGGAAGTGGGTCACGCTGTCGTACACGCAGATCCTGATCATCTCAAACCCGCTCAGTGGCTGACGCGTCTGCTGACGACGCAGGTCATGAAAGAACTCGGATGATACTTCGAACTCGACGTGTGCGAACATCTGCGTGTTTCTTTAATGTGCTTAGAAAAAGTCTGAGATGTTTTATTTCAACTCATGAAAAATGGGAGTAAAATCAAAAGTGTTGCATTTATATTTTTGTTCAGTGTAATAACCTAATAATGACTTTCACACACCAGTAATAATCCCTTAGTTTAACTATGACTTTATTGATCTTTATTTAACTCTTTGTCTCTTCTAATTGACTGTTTTGTGTGGCTGAGGGCGGTGACTGCTTTGTTGTGACATCACAAAGTTCCAGAAGTCCTGACGGCTGGTTTTAAGGCTCAGTTTCTGAATACAGGCTGTGTGCATTTCTCTGTGGACTGAGGCTTTGATACTTTCACAGTATTAATATAGAAGCTAGACCTGATCTATAATCACACTACACATGGACACAGACCTTTACACTGGAGGAGCTTTAAGATAATTAGCAGATGATCTGATGTCTCATTAAATCGACTGTTTGTAGACGTGAACAGGAAGAATCAGAGTATTAATAATAAGGAGTCAGACTTCATCATCTCCATTTACTTTTACTTATTAACTGAGTTTACTAGAATATTTTCCATGTCTGAGTTTAATACTAGTTTCAGTTTCAGTGCGATTTAATATCTCTGCTCGTCATTCTCCAATCACATGAAACCACAGGCGAAAACATATTATTACACAATGTGTTATTAATGCACTCTGGCAGCACACTCACATCCACCCACACACATACTGTACCCACATCCACACTGTACTGTCCTCCACACACACACAAACACAAAGCGCTCAGTTGAATTCACACTTTGTTTGTTTGCTTTTTTTTTTTTTTAAACCACAAAATCAACACAAGTGTGAACTCCACCTCCTACACAAGAGCAACACACAACACACAACACATGCAGCAAAGCATCCACAGCCTGAAGTAATGTCAGATGATAATGACAATTTTGTGTTTTCGCTGACGACCACGGATAATGTTAGTAACGATATCTGCCAACCAGAGCTGGGACGATCAGATATTCTTTCCAAATCAATATCGGAGGATCTAATTAAAGATAAATATCAGGGTTTTTACTGAATACAGCAACAACAGAGTCAAATACATCTGTGTTCTGGTATGAATCTAAAAAAAATAAAAAAAACAAAACTGCTGTAGAAAACTGACATGATCCATCTGGACTGAATCAAAACAACTGACAGTTCTCTGTGGGTTGGAAGCACAAACTCACCGTAGCATATTTCAAGATGATATCAGCACGTTCCTCTGCTATTAGAGTCTCAATGTCTTTCTTCATGTCAATATCTGTAAGAAGAAGAAGAAGAAGAAGTCAAGATGAGTCAGAAAATTAAAAAGCACGCAGCTGATAGAAGTGGGAGACTGTTGGCCTCTAAACCAGCAGGATGAGCTGGCACTGCTGCCGCAAACACGACTTCATCGTAAAAACAAACACAGTTATCAGTAGTTGGTTGCATGTGCAATTTATCAATTGGCTTTAATTGATTAATTGATTAATCATTTCAGTCACTTTTCAAGCAGAAATACAGAAAAACGTTCTCAGGTTCCAGTTTTTATAATGTGACGATTTCCTGTTTTTCTTTGCCATATGACAGGAGATTGAATACGTTTTACGTTTTAAGACTGTTAGTCGGACAAGGCAGCACAGTGATGACATCACCGCGGCTCCAAAGCAAAGTTTTCACTATCTTTTAACAATTTAAAGACTGAACGATCAATCAGGAAAATAATCGGCAGGTTAAACAACAGCCACAATACAAATACAAAAAAAGGTAAATCAAAGTTTTATTCTTTATTTGCTGAAAGTTTAAAAAAACTAGAATCACCTCCTCATGGTTGTATCCCTCCACCACTCAGACTAGTTCCATGTTACATCCCTGTTTATCCAGTCATAGAAAATATGAACCATAATTGTTGTGTGAGGTCTTGAGTAATGGCTAAAAAGTGTTTTCTGAGGTCACCACGCCCTTGACGTTTGACCTTTGACCCCCAAAATCTAATCAGTTTGTCTTTAAGTCCTCATGAATGTTTGTGCCAACTTTGAAGAAATTCCGTTAAGACGTTACTGAGATATCATGTCCACAAGAAAGGGACGGACAAACGGACAACCTGAAAACAAGATGGCTGCTGCTCTGTCTGGTTTTCTCTTAATGAACAAACATGTATCTGATAAGTGGCTAACATGTTAGCTTCTGTTCACTAGCTAGCAAAGAGCAGCATGTCTTCGTTAGGCTGCAGCATAATTACATGCCTTTTAATAAACAGTGTTATGAGCAGTGACAGACTCTCCAGCTGGTATTACATTACACACTAAAAGAACATGAAACTGGCAAAGTAGGAAGTAGAGGAAGACGACACGAGTCAGGAAGACGTAGAAAGTCGACGTCACGGAGCAGAATGAATCACAGTTTCTGGTGAGTTGGGAACTGGCTCTTTTGGTAGAATCTGTGCAGATTATGTGAGTCGTCTGAACAAACCTTTATACAACGTGACAGGAGCGCGGTGTGAATGTGAAGCATTTTATTCACATGCAGGTAAATATGTTTTATTGTGCGCTGTGGCCGAGCCGTCAGAGCTCTTATATGTTATTTAAAACGTACTGTGTCTGAATGTAAAGTCTTGTGTGTTTAATGTGTTTCTACACTTAGTTCAGCATGTTGTACACCTCCGTTAGAGGCTCGTCTCAGCTGAGAATTATTTAAGATAACGTGCTCCGAGTCTAATGGTTGAACCATATGAATAATGAATATTTGAGATGCGGTCCATCAGTTCAGAGGAGCCAGAGAATGAACTGCCGGTTTGTCCATCAGACAGACAGAGGCGGGTAATACGAGCGGACCGTACTGCAGCGTTGCAGTAATATAAGTCCCCTGGGAACCATGAACCTGCCGGTGTTCATATGACACCCCCACCCACCACCAGCCTCCTGCATGACGTCTGCGTCACACCAACGCTGAGCTGCTGTGACAGGAAACCACACTGAAACAGGAAACCACACTGACGGACCACGTCATGAACATGGAGGACCGGAGCTGCTGCAGTCATGATGTGTGGACACTTTGACTACAACAAACAGTCACACTTCAGATAGAGTGTGAATTCACCTGTTGCAGTTCAGTTCTTGACTATCTTAAGCCGGATCGTGAAACAATGAATTATGGGTAAATTAAGACTGTTTTCAATATTAAAAAAATGGCTGAGCGAGGAACCGCATCCAAACGCCAACCTTCAGCAGAACATGTTTGTCTTTTGGAAGAATTCAACAATTACAAGAGTGTTAGAGTTAAATAAGAAGTTAAATAATAATGTGATTTGGAAAATAAAAATGGCTGCCGTCTCTAAAAACTCTTTCTCTTCTCTTTTCTAATGTTCACAAACCACAAATTATGAGCCGTGTTTTCCTGTTTTTTGTTGTTGGGTGCTACTGGTCAGGCAGGTTTCACTGATTGTTACCATGGTAACATTGGTTTTAGGCCTGAGTTAACCTGGGGGGGGGGGGGGGGGGGTAAGGGTTGTGATGTTTTGAAGAACATGAAGACTGGACCAACACTACCGACCAGTCTGATCAGCACCTGTACTGCTTCATCAGACTGGACTTCAGCTACTGATTGAACTACAAATCCCAGACTTCACATGGCGGAGGGTGATATCATGACACCTTCTGTAAGACGGCTCCTTTTGTGTCTTTTTAAAACAATGCACACGATCCCAGCTGGATCCGGAGGGGAGCTGCTAAACCCGTCCCCAAACAAAAGCGGAGAGGGTTTTTAATCCTGCTTAATCTACATCCTCCGTGCGGATCTACACCAATGACAGGAGCAGCAGTGGTAATCTGGACACGCAGCAGGACACGCGAACCATCTGGATTAGAAATATCTCCAAAGCAGGATTATGCAATGAAAGTCTGTTATTGCCGAAGCAGGAACAAAGAGCCAAAGGTTTGAAGTTGAACGGACGTTTGGAGCCGTGGCTTCGATCTGAACCTTTAAACTCACTCGCGATAAACTGTATTTACAAAGATAAGATGAGAGATATCAGTGATTGATTGACTGATTGATTGATTGATTGAGCAGATGAGCAGGTACCGGAACCTCCTAAAAACTGATCATCAAACAAGAGCCGACCTGAAGCCAGAAATCTTAGTCCAGTTCTAAAATCACAACAAGAAGCTGGAAGATTTCTTCTTTTTCCTCGATAAATAAACTGTTTAATGAAACCTGTTGTTGATTCACCATCTTGACAGAAAGTTAAACACAAGTGAAATCTGATGAAGTTTAAAAGTAAGACGACAACCACATTTCCAAATCTGCAAGATACATTTTTTTTTTGTCTGAAACCGTCTCAAACATAAAAGTTTCTTTACATTAAAGAAAGAAAGAAACAGTTTGATTGTGAAAGTGATAATTTAGATAATTTGACCTTTATCTGGTTTATTTTTCAAACATCTGGTCAGTGTCATCATCCGCCTCTAACGTGATGTAAGCTCCTCATCTTTCTGACAAAGTGACAGAAAAAATACTAATATTTTATACAATAATTCTTCATTTAAAAGCGTCTGTGAATCCCTGAGTTTTTCTAAATGCTCCTGTTTTTCTGAGACTTTTTGACTTTCAGGCTTTTGGACTTTATGGTTTTTGCTGATTCCCTCAATAAACATCAGATCCAAAAACACCTTCATGTCACTTGGACCTTGATATTTTAGACATCCACACAGATACTTTTGGCTTTGTAGTGTTTTAAATTTCACTTCTGTCAGCCAGGACTCGGAGCAGAGTCATAAATTTGAGAGGAAAGTGTTTAAAAAGTACAAAGTAGAATCTAACAGAGCTTCAGATCGGCTCTGGCCCTGCAGAGGTTCATGTAGAAAGGTTAATAGCTCACAGAAGCTTTAAATATGAGCTGTCATCTGAAGCATATGGCAGCGGCCGCATGTGGTCAGTGCACTAAATCACAGAGGAGCTCTGGCTGGAGTCCCAGTACGAAGGGCGGAGGCCCAAACTGGGAGAGAGAGGAGAGACTGGACGGCAGCTCGCTCCTCTACCTGACAGGAGGACTGACAGCCTCAGAGTTAGAGGGTTGTTCTCTGGTTAATTACAGACGACACTGACAGACCGTCTGGTCCCTGGGTCTGAAGTCATGAGACGTGGGACCTGGACCTGAGTCCGAGGTGGAAAGTCAAAGGAGATAAATGCATCATTTCAAACGTGTGCGAGTTCAAGGTGGGAGGGAACAGCTGTATGTGATCACTGACCACAGATACTTTGAATTTTACAAGGTTAGGCAGATGACATCACTCCGTTAGGACGCTAGATAAATGTATTAAAAGTGCTGAGTCGTGTTGGAGGAGCGTTAAGTGCTGAGTGTGTGGGCGGCCATGTTTGTTTTGTCAGGAGCTGGAGGAAACACAGACTTCAACGTCTGAGGATCAAACACCAAGTTCACGTCCCGCTCGACTGATCAGAGACATGAGCTTCTACTTGATCAGATTTGATCTGTTAAATGAAATGATGGATTTCAGTGGAGCTGGTGCTGAGTCACGGTCCGGGTTCAGAGACCTGGTCGACGCAGAGACTGAAGATCCGATTAAACAAACGTGGACTTACACGGTTCTGAAGTGGAGCTTTTAATCTCTTCTTGCCCAATACTTCAATGATGAACATTAATACCTGTGTTTTTGTATGTATAGACATTATGTTTATTGTTTTCACGTTTCCTTAATGCAACTTTAACTATTTTTATTCCTCCGTCAGAGCGGCAGCCATATTGTTTTCAGGCTGTCCATCCGTCCTATTCTCGTAGACAGGGTCTCTCAGTAGCGCCTCGACGGAACTTCTTCAAATTTGACGCCTCGACGGAACCTGGTCTCACGGATGAACTGATTAGAATTTGGTTGCTAAAGGTCAAAGGTCAAGGTCAGTGTGACCTAAGAAAACACTTTTTAGCCATCACTCAAGACTTCCCACAGAAATTATGACAAGATTTCACACAATTGGTTCATATTTTAGTGACTCTGGATAAACAGGGATGTAATCTGGAACTAGTCTGCGTGGCGGAGGGATACGACCACAAGGAGCTGATTCTAGTTAAGATGTGAAGTACAAGGCTGGATCACAGGCAGTGTCCCCAAAAGCCCCAGGTTTCTTCCACATCATCAACTATGACGGGTTCTCCATCCTCCATCTTGTGGACCCGGTCCACTAGAGGTACCCTGGTCTGAATCTAGTTTTAAGACCTTTTCTCCTGATCTCACTTGTTTTAAAGTGTTTAACACAAACAAACAAACAAACAAACAAACAAACAAACACACACACACACACACACACACACACACCCTGGGTACGGTCGTATTATTCCATCACAGGAGAACTGTACTGCTGCGCCTGGTGATTATTCTCATCTGACAATGATTTTCTTAAATAATTAATTTAATGTTCAGTGAATAAAATGTGAGAAAACAGTGAAATTACGCCTCATTATTCCCTGAACCCCACGTGCACATGTTCTGTCACGTTTTGTTTGACCAGCTGTCAGAAACACAAAGACACTGAGAGAATTATCACAAAAACAAAGGAAAACAGCAAATATTCACATTTTCTTTGGCTTTGAACTTGATGCCAATTGATTTTCTATCATCTGATCGATTATCAATTTATCATTTCAGCTCCAATGAAACTGCCAAGTACAGTACGGGGTCAGTAGGGGAGGTGGTTGAGCTTTACTGACATTTTTAAACGTTACATTTGACCCTCAGCTCTCATGGACATTGAACGCAGCACCAGCAGCTGTAATGTAAATGTTAGTTGTGTGAAACTGTGTTAAACTCTCCTGTGTGTGTGCGCGTGTGTGTTGTTGTTGTTGCAGCGGCGGCAGCGGCAGCAGCCTCCGGCCTGCAGGGAGCTCAGAGCCGCCGCTGCCGCCGCTGCCGCCGCTGCCTTCACTGCCTCCATCAGAGGGACGTGCATGTACCGGGATGCTGGTCCGGTCCGCTCCCGGTTCAGACTCACTACACTGAGACCCCGGACCTCATTAGTGGTTCACGGTGTCATTTTGTGATGGTAAACAAACCCCCAGCCTCCGGTGGGATGAGCCGTGATGATGCCGTGATGTGAGACGGTGATACAATTCTCACGCGAGATCATTTTATTCTAATGAGAATAATAAAGAAAAGCAGCAGGAATGAGAGGAGGTGAAGAGCAGTGTGGTTACCGTGGTTCAGCTCCGGCTCCTCGGGGCATTCTCCGGTGAAAGTGCAGCTCCGACACAACGAACCACCGGTCTGACAACAATAGCCTCCGTCAATCCATAGGTTACACTCAGACAGCACATTAACACACACATACGCGCACACGCTCACGCATGCACGCACGTACAGGGTGCAGCAGACGTACGGGACAGAGGAGCTCCTGGTCCAGGATCCGAGCAGCAGCAGTAGCGGAGGAGCAGGGACAGGGGGAGGAGGAGGAGGCGCACTGAGCAGGCGCCGCAGCGTGGCACCCGTCAGCCGTGTGTGAGCTGTAGGACCCGGCCTTAAAGACACAGAACACACACACACACACACACACACACACACACACACACACACGGGACAAACACACACACACACACACACACACACACACACACACACACACACACACACACACACACACACACACACACACACACACACACACACACACACCTCAGGGTTTCCTCTGCTGCCATCTGCTGGAGAGAGAGAGAAGTGCAGGGATGCTCCACACACAAGGACGGATTATGAGACAATGGGCACGTGGGCACAGGCATGTAAAGCCCCCCCCCCCCCCACCCCACCACCCCTCCTATACAAGAGCAAGACCCACAAACTGATCATCTAATTGTTTTCATTCATTCATACAAAATGTAAAAATACTTAAATGAAGAGAGTTTTCCACCCAGATATCAATGTTCAGGTCAGTAATATTTAAAGCTGTGGTTCTGGGGCCATCTGGTGGGTCGCAGTGGTACTGCAGATGGGCTGACAAATCATTTGCAAAATAATTTTGGTAAAAAGATGTCATTATATAAAAAAACTGAAAATATAAATAATGTCTTAAATGTTTTAAAATGAAATGATCTTTAAAAACAGTTAAAATGTCAGATCAGATGACAAACTGAACACTACATATTATTTAATGTGTTTTATATTCTCAACCTTAATTATTCCTCTTTCAAACTAATTAATTACTTCATTTTATCCTAGTATTAGTATTTCCATTTCTCCAGTTTCAGATCATAATTGCTTTGAAGTTATAATAATCGTAAAGCTGACACATAGAAATCAAGCAGCCTAGATCAGAGAACACCAGTGTAAGAGTTGTGTATTTATTGTGTGTGTGTTGTCGTCTTTGCTTTTAGTTTATTTGAGTTTTTCTTGCTGTTGACAGTCGTCGTGATTCACCTGGTTAAATAAAATAAAAATAAATAATTGCAGCAGAATGTTGGCTAATCTACAATTCTAAATCTAGAAAACAAATCTTTCCCTCCTTTGAAAAAAACTCAATATTAAATACAAATAATTAATTTGGTGTCAATTTATTGAACATATAAAGTGATAAAGTGAATCAACACACAGCACAACATGATATTCAAGGATAATTACTGTTTGCAAATCTTTAAAAAACACACACACACACACACACAATGCAAAGCTCACGCGTTGTTAAAAACAACCAGATGATAAAATGACAGTGGTCAGTTTAAAAGGAAAAGAAATGTTTTGTGAATTAAAACGCAGCTTCATAAACATCTGGAATGAACTTGGTTCAACTGACTACAATCAAATATCCACGTAAAAAACAAAAAAAAAAAAACATACGTTCACAGGAAAGTGCAAAGACTGAGTGGCCAAGCGTTGAGGTTATGAGTCAGTGCAAACAGCAGGACTTCACCAGTTCACAACACAAACACTGTGATTCACCGACACGTTCACAGGCTCCACAGAAACAAACAAACAAAAAGAAATACTACAAAAATCAAGCTTACACATCTCACCCCCCCCCCCCCCCCCCCCCCACTTCATTTCCCTGAATTTAAAAATCCACATCAACTCTACCAGGCAACAAACTGAATCTTCTTCTCATGTTTTTAGCTCCTTGTGAGTCGAATTCTCCACAGGACGAGGCATTAAAGTATTAAAGTGTAATTTTCTTTCTTTTAGTCAACCGCTTTTTTTTTTTTTTCCATGTCAAGAATATTAGAAACCAGGTGAAGCCGCGTCCTGACGACGCTTAAGGTGCTTTTAAGGTCAAACAACCGCACCTGAAGGTCAACAGTCCAACATTTACCTCATTATCTAGTATATTATATTAAGTCAGGGTCGGTTCAACATCGGGTCATGAAGGCAGCTCCCACAACAGGGTTCAGGGACCAACAGGGGCCACGAGTTAATTCTCCAAAAGCCACAGTTACATCAATAAAACCTGATTACCTGCTGGACCCTGGACCCCCAGGAACCCCAACCGCTTCAGGTTCAATTCAAGAGTTTTGGATCATTAGCTACTGTTGTCTGGTTTCGCATTTTTATTATAAATATTTTATCGTAAAATGTTTCTGTTCATTTTAAAGTATCTGACCTGCTTTTTTCTTCTTCTTGTTTATTGTTTCGCACCAAAACACCAAAGCTAATTCCTCGTATGTGAAAACCTGCTTGATAATAAACCTGGTTCTGGTTCTGGTTCTGGTGCATGTTCCTCAATGAAGTTATATTTAATCTAATTACACTGAATATCTTGGGTCAGGCAACGCTCCAATATAAAAGTACATAATTTCAGAATTTCTCAGAAGCTGAAATCTTCAAGATTGAGACACAAAATTTGAACTTTTAAAGAGTGTATGAATCCCTGAAGCAGATCCCTGTGAGGCGGGAGAATACCAGACATGATGAGATTAATATTCAACAGCCGACTCAAAAATCTAAATATTCTGGACGGAGATCTTCATACAGACTCACTTCACTCTGACCCGACACAGGAATAACTCTCTCTTCTTCATCGTGTGATTCACTGTCAGTCGCACTGGTCGACATGTTTCCTTCACACCTTCAACAGACTCCCAGTGACTTCAGCAGCCAGACTGATAAAGGGTCAATTCACCCAAATTACAACATAAACAAAAAACACCTTCTCACTTACCTTACCTTAGAAATTAAATGTCTGTACAAATAAAACCAAAAGCACCTGCATCACAGGAAGCAGGAAAATAAGTTTGATGTAATTTGAACTGACGCTTGAAGTCAGACGAGTTACTGAAACACAAATATGACAGTTTTTACTCCAAAACAATAAACAATAACTCCGAAACCAATAAAATGTTCTACTTCCTGTCTGGTTTTTAGACTTTTTAAAGATGGCTGCTGCAGGATTTGAGCCGGGTGACACAGGATCTGGTCTATGTGAGTTCACCTCAGCGTTGACACAAAGCGTTGGTGAAGCTTCAGTTGGACCAGGCGTAGGCGTACAGGCCGTTCTCCCTCCACAGGTCGCACTGAGCGGCAGAGTAGTTCCGGGACAACCACAGCTCGTTGGACAGGAGGGCAATGGCTGCTGGGTACTCGGGCCACTCGCTCCCCATCTTACCTGCACGACAGAAAGGAGGAGGTGAGACTCTGGCACCAGACGACAGAGTGAAAGCCGAGTTCAGACTCTGGAGTTTGTTCTGCTCTGATTCTTCTGTCACCTCCGTCTTCTCTCTGTGCTCCTCCATTTACAAACAGAGAAATTTAACCAGAGAAATTCTGTTTCGGTCAGTCATCATCTGAAAACACCTCAGCCTCCAAAACAAAGAGCCTGATTTTCTTTGTTTCTTCTGGTCATCGATTGATGAACCTGCAGTAAATAACCTGATCGTGTTTGTTCTTTATATTTCAGATCAATATTTTATAGACTAACTAAATAACAAATGAATTAAATTAAGGATGAAGGACGGTGGAAAACATTATAAATAAAATTTCATTTGCAGCCCTCCTCCTGCACAAAAGGGATGAAGTCCAAAGAAATCCTTTCAACTGACAAATATAAATATATATGATCAATCGATTTGTTGTTTGTACAGATGTTTTAACAGATTTCCCTTCAAACGTTCAGCTGGCCTGTACATAGTCACACAGCGGCCATTTTCCGTCACGCTCAGGTAACAAGTCATATAAACAGAGATTCTGACATTTCGATCGATGAGCAACAGAAAAGACGACGGATTCTGAAAGATCACTGCAGATCAAGCACATTAAGCCTGGAAGTGAAGTCACATTTTTCGACCATTTACAAGATTTATTCAGAGACATTAAAGTGTTCAACGCTTCCCACCCTCAGTGTGACGCGTGACGAAAAATGGCCGCCGTGTGAATATCGGCCCAAACTGCCAGAATCAGGCGCAGCAAGTTCAAGAGTAACATCGAGATGTAGAACAGATCAAAAGAGAGACCGGCGTTCATCTCCGACATTCAGCGAGGAAACTTTTAAAATATCAAGAATTAAAAATGGAGTTTGGCGTGTTTGTGAAAGCCGTTCACCTGCTCTACAACGACCTCCTGTGGTCGTACCTGTGAGGTCCAGGGAGCATTTGAAAACTAATTTGCACATGCAGCGGAAAACAAAGCACGAGTTAAAGTGAAAGTGCATCAAACACTTCCTGTACTTCACAGCTACAGGAGGTCTGATGCTGCTGATGCTCAAAACACAGACGAGCCGGTGAACACGAGCTCAGTGGGATGAAGCACCGTCACCTGTTTTAGCGAAGCCGACGAGGTGACGTGTGACGAGCTCCTGGAAGCTCTTGTCGTGGTCAGAGAGCGGCTTCCCCAGGACGGACTCCAGGCCGCCGAAGAAAGCCACGGCGTCCAGGCAGTGGAAGGAGAAGCGGCTGGGGAACGGCAGCACGTCTCCAGACACGTTGACCGGTCCGGACGGCGTGTGCGTCACCACGTAGCGATACACAGGGCTGTCGAGAGCAGCTGCAGACACAGAGAGGTTAATCACATTCAGATGAGTGACCATATTGGACCTGGGACATCAACAACTGGTGCACATCTGTAATATTCACACAAGTTTTTTAAATCCTTTTTTTTTTACTTTTAGACAAGATTATTAAATAAAATAAAACCCTCAGGACGAGACGACTCCGTTTCTTCAGGGGAGAAAAGTTTCATAAAACGAAGAATATTTCAAAACCACTAATGAAAGAAGTTGCTGTGTGAACATACAATGAGCTGGTGTTTATGTTTGAATGTTCGATATTCTCGGAGGAAACTAAAGGAACTCATATACAGAGGCCTACAGAGGAAAAGTCTGATGTTATCTCAGTCTTTCTAATCCTCTGACTTCTCTGCTCCGTCTCACTCTGACAACATCAACCTTTAAAAACAAAATATAAACTTAAAAATACTTTAAAAACTCCTCAGTAACGTCCTCAAACAGCTGCTCACCGGATCATTTCCAGAGGGACATGAAGGAAACTGTCTCCCTGCAACACTGATGTGTTTTTAATAGTTTCTTCTGGACTCAGTTTTGTCTGTGTTAATGATGTTTTTTAAGAGAGACGTGTTAAATACACAGAGGAGCAGCTGTTTCATTCTTCAGGAATAAACTGAATATTTCTTGGGGGGGGGGGGTTCACTGAAAAATGACGATAGGGTGATCAACGAATCCCTGATTCATCATCGTCATCCGGACTGGTTGTTATGCAGCTCCAGAAAAACAGGCTGTGCTACACACAACAAAAAAAATAAAAATAACAAAACCCCCCAATGAACCGTGTAGAAAAAAAACACCCATGATGCCTTGCGGTTGCCTCTCACAGCAGCTAAATGTCAGTTAACTCAGAGCTTCACCACTCAGTGAGTTTAACTGCCCCTCAGGCACAAAACTCCATGAGGCAGAGAAACAGTGACGAGCTGCAGCAGCTGAAACTCAAGAGAGGAATCGGTCCAGCTTAGTTTTTCACAATAAAAGCATTTGTAACACTCACACGCTAATGCTCTAAAATACGAGACGCTGCAGGGCCTGAGTTTACCTGCGGCCCTCCTGGCCAGGTCGTTGTTGGGACAGGTGACCCTGATGTCGGACACCATGGTGGTGTACATTCTCTCCGGACAGCGGTTTCTGGTGGGGCATCGGGACGAGAACGGATACAGGTTCAACGCCGCCGTGGTCAGATTCTCGCTGAAGGACCGGAGTTTCTCTGAGGGGAGAAGAGAAGATACAGAAACCAGACAGATCTGATCACATGATTATTGTCTAATCAAACCTGCTGACTCTCATTTATCTCCTCTAACGAAGCCTGGGTGTTTATTATATATTTAAAACATCGCTCTGATATCTTATTTACTTGGATTCTTCTCACTTTGTCTTGTAATTTAAAATTTTTAACTTAAAAACTGTTGATTGTTAATATGTGTAATAACTAATTAAGGGGATTACTGGAAATCTTCATCCCTATACTCATGTTTTATCTGTTTTATCTTATATTTTATTTACTTCACATTAAAAGCTGTTTGCGTCTTTTTAAAACAGTGTTTTACCTGGTGGTTGAGAGGAACTTTACAAATAAATCCATCTTTTCATATCACTAAAAACAAACTCTCTAAATTATTTTCTAACCACTGAACTAATTACAGAACCAGACTTTTTAATAAACGTGTTAATCTTCCCGTCGTTGGCAGAAACGACCTCGACGTCAACCAGCGTCAGAAAACACAGAGAGGTCTTTACTGTCACTGACGCCGTGTCGAGCCGCCGCTGAGACTCGTGAGAAAAACTATTCCCATGAAAATTTCAACAAGCTGAACCTCAGCTCACAGTCTTCATCAAACATTCAGCAACCTGCTGTGCACGTTAGCTAGCGTGACATGCTACACACGCTAACTGATCTGACGTGTAATAAACAGGGTTATATCTTACAGGTAATCCAAAAGCTGAGACATTATTGAAGCTGGTCCGGTTCTTCTGGGTTTATATGTAAAGCTATCACGAGTGTATTTTGTGTGTTTAAGGACTGTTTATCTCAGTATTTAATGGTGCCACATGTTGGGGATAGATGTGTGTTTTAAGGACTGTAAGGACTGGACTGACTGATGATGGACTGATTGACATTACTCCTCTCCTGGCCTCTCTGCATCGGCTCCCGCTTCGCTATAGGATAGAATTTAAGGTTCTATTGTTTGTTTTTAAAGCCGCTAATGGAGCAGCTCCCCCCTGCATCACACACCTTTTATTCTTTTTTTTAAATTAAAGTTATATTTTTGGACATTTTTGCCTTTATTCTGACAGTACAGTGACAGATAGACAGGAATCCAGGGGGGGCGGGGGGGCGGGTTGATGTTGTTGTGTTTTCCTGGTGTTGTGTCAGCTGTTTTCAAATGTGCTTTATGAATAAATTTGATTTGATTTGATTTGATTTGATTTGATGGCGGAGCCGGGGTGAAGGGTGAAAGGAGGACAGTCAGAAAGGTTAGTGGACAAAAAGCTGCAGAATTCACAAAGGATCTTTTCTTCTGCTGAAAGTTTCTTCAAACTGAACTCTGTGGTGTGGCAGTTCAAACATCATCCATATAAGAGTCAGGCTCTCCTCCACACCACCACCACCACCATCATCATCATCATCATCATCATCATCATCAGGGTCACTAACGTCCACACAGCAGCCATTACCTGTCACGAACCACTGGTAGTCCCCCCAGGTCCACATGGAGATGTTTCCAGCCGGAGGACTGTGGAGGAGACACACAAGCACCGAGTCACAGTTTGATCACAGGACGAGCCGATGACGGCGATGAACTTGAGCCAGGTGAGCTCTCACCTGAAGTCCGCCTCCTGCTCCGTCGTCCCGACGACGAACGGGACATCGCTGTGGTCTCCTTTCTTCTCCCACACCTCAAAAGGCGGAGCTTCCAGAACGAAGCCGTCCACCACCGCCACGGGGCCGACGAAGCGCCCTCTGGTGGGGAGATCTGTCGCGTCATCTGCTGCCCAGGAGGGGTAGTCCTGCCAGGGCACAGCCTGAGGGGGGGGGGTAATAATCACATCCTTCATTTAAGTTCAGTATCAGCAGCAAAATGTTCTTAAAGTATCAAAACTTGTTCTTGTTCTGCAGTAAAATGTGCTGATAAATGATTAAATATGATATTATTACATTATTAATCATCGACGCTGCAGCTGCATTTTACTGAAATGAAAGTTCTGATACAGAAATCTCTTTTCAGCTGCAGGATATTCTCTCTCTCTCTTTCTCTGTGAAATATTGAATCATTTTTCCTCCTCGGCTCTGAACCACCTGCGAGGTTCAGGTGAGAAATCACGCTCTGGATGATCTGCTAACGACACACCTGACGTGTGACACGAGGCTCCAACTGCTTTACTGAACAAGCCAAAAATATTTGACCCAATTGATTTTAAGCTCATCATATGTTTTATTTCTATATAAAATCTGATCTGTAATATATTTAAAAAAAAAGATCTATAAAACTTTAGAATAAAAGTGCTGAGAGAAGGAAACAGAAATGATATTAAATCATGCTGATTCGGCTGATTTGATGTTTATTCCTGTGATTTTCCAGTTGTATCAGCAGCAGATACAACTTTTTACAGTATGTGGTTTATGTTAAGAAGGAATTTTGGGAACTAAGCTACACCAGTCTCTGCAGCAGACACCTGGTCTCTGTGAAGCTTGTTGGGGACTATTTTCAGAGGCGGATTAATCCACGTCTGGTGATGTCTCAGAGGAATCCGATCCGTCAGGCTCAGACACACACACAGGACTGGAGGAGGGTTTTTCTCGTGGGTCTTTTCAAACACACATGTAGCTTTAAAACTGAACATATCACTGCCTTTAAATCAAGAATTAATCGTCAAAAACGCTGAATTACAAAATAAATCTCATTCAAATTTACAGAACAAATAAAGGAAAAAGCTGAAGAAAAATGTAAATAAATATAAAATAATCCTGAGTGGCAGCTGGAAAATTGTAAAGTGACATTTAATAAAAGTAATAACAGCAATAGACAGTGTGACGACTGCTGCACTTATGAAAGTTCAGTCGTCATCCTTTTTACTGCCTGTTATTTCATCTCATCACATATATTATTCATTCTTCATCTCAGAGCTACAGTCAGACACGTTGAACAGAAAACGACTGCTTCTTCTTCTCTTTAAAAAAAAAAAAATAATAATCTTAATGGCGTCTCAGAGTTAAGGTGTGGAAACACCTGTCTTCAATCACATCTGCGGAAGATTCACAGGAAAAATAAAAAAGTATGAAATAAAAATCTTTCCATTATGTTCAGCGTCCAATTTCTTCATTAACTTTCACAGTAAAATTAGAAACTCTCAGGAGCTCTAATACCTGGATGTGACATTATAATCCATCAAAATGAAAGAGCAATTTTAAAATCATGTCACGAGCTATGAATCAGATATTTCATGAAATCTCCAAATATTAAAAGGAGGAACTGCTCGACTGTATTTTTCTGTTATTAGATTTTTCTCTGCTTCAACAGAAATGATTCCTTTGTTCAGATTTAACAGGAAAACTCCCACAAAAGTTGCGAGAGTTGAGGAGGAAGTGGAGACGCTGTGTGTTTCCCACCTGCAGCACCTGTCGGACAGGAAGACCCCTGAGGCAGGTCGGGTCGCTGCAGCCCGTCTTCTTCAGGAACACCAGGTTGCTGGACTCGGCCTGCGCCAGCGTCGCGTTGTAGACGTACGAACCGCTCATGTCCACCGCCGCGTGGAAGAGGCCCTTCGCCAGCGGGGACATCATCAGGGTCCACACCGACGTCCCACCTGCACCACAACAGGTGAAACGTGTGACTGAAGATCACTGAAGAACCCAGTCTGTGTGTCGTTGATGATCTAACGTATGACTCTGTAAAATGTAGTTAACTCTATTCAGGTTGCAACTAATTAATATTTTCATTAGAGATTATTTTCTTGATTAATTCTTTGGTTTTATTCTATGAAAAGCAGCAAATACTTACTTTTCAAGAACCTGGAACCATCAGATATTTTGCATTTTTGATTTAAAAATGACTTAAACGATTAATCACTTTATAATAATACAAAAAAACTATTATTTGACTAATTGCTGATACCAATATTTAAACCTTTAAAGCTCCTCCAGTGTAAAGGTCTCTGTCCATGTGTAGTGTGATTATAGATCAGGTCTAGCTTCTATATTAATACTGTAGAGAGGCTCAGAGCCTCCTCTCTTCTGATTGGCTCACAGACCTGTTGTTACTAGAGCTCCAGAGAGAAGCCTGAGAGAGGAGATGTAAAACTACACTGAGATGGTTTTTATATCTTCTTCTGGATCAACACTTCAAATAAAACACAGAAGAAGAAGAAACTATGGAGCCCTAAAATAAATTAATAATAAAATAAAAATTGCTCTGAATTCAAACAAACAGTATCTGACATTTCTCTACTGCAGCTTTATGTGTGTGTGTGTGTGTGTGTGTGTGTGTGTGTGTATATATATATATATATATATTATTATTATTATATTATATTTTCTTAATTTCATTCTAATAATTTCTTCATGTTACAACCTTTGACATGGTTTTATTTTTCTGAACAATTTCTCTTTCTTTCTATTTTCTGCCTCTTAAATAAACTTACGTTGTCTAACACGTGTCCCGGCTTGAAAACCAGGTGAACACATGAAGGAATCTCGTTCTGCCAGTTTCTGCTGCGACTCTTTCCAGCGTCTTCACAGTGTAGACAGACACTTTGAAAAGTTTGTTATTGTTGTTGTTGGTGGTGGTGTAGTTAAACCCTCTGTGGCAGGTCTGTGAGACTCACCATGTAGTCACAGCAACTTCCTGTTTCCGTACCTGAGCTCTGTCCGAAGATGGTGACTTTCCCTGGATCTCCTCCGAACAAGTGGATGTTCCTCTGGACCCACTTCAGAGCTGCGATCTGGTCCAGGAAGCCATAGTTCCCTGCAGAGGAGAAGGAGTGAGGAGTGAGGAGTGGGGGGGTTGGGGGAGGGAGGGATCAATTAGCAACGAGAACCTGCTTTGATGTGGCCTTGTTTCCGGCGTCCCAATTTCTCCGTTGGAAACAAAAAGCGGCCGGCTGTGGCGTTCTGGCAGCCTGAACTAAATTTAACTCTTTTCAAGCGGAGGGAGCGAGGAAGGAAATGGGGCATGGAATTAGGAGGATTCAAAATTAGAAACGTGAGAGCGGGAGAAAGAAGCGGCTCCTGGAAGATGAAGAGGACTCGTGCGCCCCTGTCATCACGCTATCATGTCATGTGAGGCTCTCTCTCATTTAACGGGTCACTTCACATCAAGGTCACAGCAGAGTTTTTTTTTTTTTTTTTGTGGATTACGTAACAGAAATCACCCAGCTTGACTCGCAATGCAGCGATCTGTGTCCCACAGCGTTAACGTGTTAGCGTGAAGAGAGGAATTAGCTTCATTTATCCAGACGACATTAACATTCATGAAACATTCACATCTTAATGGAAAAGGGATGGACTGTTCAGCATTCAAACTGAGCACAATGCAAACACCATGAATATTTCAGGACTCTGCTTTAAGTGACACACAGCTCATAAGAGCGCACACACCCATTATCACTTCTTTAACACAATGTGATGCACCACACTGATCTCATTTAGGCTTTTAAAGCTTCCTGCGGCTGCACGGCGACGATCACACACTTCTCCAATTCCCTGATCCTCATTTGTGTTTTTTAACCGAGCGTGTAAAAAGCTGTTTGTTCAAACTCTGCTGCGTTTTAATGCACTTTGTTTCAGCTAATTTAGTCCAGTGAAAACGCCGCCCTTTGACCTCCGGTGGCACCAAATTACAAACCTGAAAATGAGCTGCAAGCTGACTGAGCGTTTAGCATTCATGTGCTACTTTAGCACAAACAGGAATGTATGTAACAGTCAATCCGCCATTAAATTTCACAATGACACACTAAAAATCAAGTGTCTTTTCTTCTACATAGAGAGAGAGAGTGTCACAGGAAGTCATTCCTGCCTGTGGCCATCGAGCTATACAACATGTCCCTCAGGGCGTCTGACGCCACATCATCATTTCTTTATTTGTACTTATTAAATTATTCAAACAGTGCAATTTATATTCATAGCCTTACATATTCCATTTTTTATTTATATTTATAGTATAAGTACATATTTTTATAGTTTATGATTCTTTGTATCTTTACCTTTACCTATTACATAACTATATCTATTCTTTCTTTGCTGAGCGAGCAACTGCAACAAAATCTAATTTCCCCCTAGGATCAATAAAATATTCTGATGCAGACTGATACTGACTTGTTCTGACTGAAATATCTATTACTGTGGCTGTAATCGATCTGTTTGAATAATCATAAAATCCAGAGATCAATCTTTTAATATCCGTCTTTTACAGTCTCCTGTGAACGTGTGACGCTGTAACTCGAGATCTGGTCACATGACGTGACAGACAAAAACATGGCCGACGCGGCTCCACTGGAGGCACAGGTTTAAAGACAAATGTGTGTTTGCATTTCAAATTTAAAAAGCATGAAGACAGTGGAAAAAAAAAAAGTCAAATGTAAAATGTGCACAAAGAAACCAAAAGAAGAAGAAGTCGTGTTTATCTGTTGGTTCACCAGGTTATTACTGACCTCAGTGACTCTCATTCAGATCAAAGAAAAACTGGCGTGTAACTGAAATGTCTCTGAATGAATGGATTCAGGAAATCACTGACAATACCCCGCCCTAACTGTTACCAACATTCATGGTCCCCAGAGCTTGAATCCTCATTAGCTTGGTGATCCGACGTTGCGCCACCAGCAAGTCAAAGTTTTCACTGAACCAAACAGCAGGTTTACCTCGTGTGTTTGTGTCGCCGACTGACCTGAGGTGTTTCTCGGAGAACCTTCTCTCAGCATCTCCAGCGCCAGGAAGCCGAAGGCGTTGAGTCTGTAGTTGAAGCTGACGTAAACCATCCCCGTGTCTGCGGCAAGCTTCTCTGTGGGCGAGTAGCCCGGCTCTCCCCCGCTGAGCATGTGCAGGTATCCTCCGTGGATCCAGACCATGACGGGCAGCTTGGCGTCGGGGCGCAGCGTGGGCGTCCACACGTTGACGAAGAGGCAATCCTCCTGGCCCATCACCTTCCCCGTGCTCGACATGGGACGCACCTGAGGGCACATGCTGCGGAAGCGGCCCGCGTCCTTCACCCCACTCTTGCACACCGGGTCAGCCGGAGGAGCCCAGCGCAGGTCACCAATGGGCGGAGCGGCGTAGGCCATGCCCTTAAAGGAGTAGGCTCCATTTTTCTGAGGAGGAAAGATTAAAAAAGTGACTTTAAAGAAACCAGATGGAGCAGATGTTAATGTGAAACAGGCCTGGTGTTTGACATCATCAACCAATCAACAACAACTCTACTTTCAGGCTTCTTCTTTGCACTGCAGAATGACAGTGAAAACACCAGCAGACAGAGAGTTTACATTAAACACAGTGACAAGAACACAATGTAAAGAGAGGAAACAACAAACCTCTGCTGCAGCTCTGCAACAGTCCATTTAACTCTAATCTGTTATTAACCAGAAACTAACAATTAAACCTCTATAAATAACTTAGTTTTTTTGCCTCTTGTTAGAATCAAACATCAAATCATCATGTTTTAAGCAAAAAGGTTTTCATGTGTTGTGGTGTTTGTTTCCACCTGATGAATCTCAGTCCAGTGTTCCCTCTCTCTCTCTTTTAGCTCTGTGTTTGGTCTCCACCGGCTGCTGAGGGAAACATCTGGCTCTTTACTCTGTTCACCAGCTGCTCTCTGACTGAGTGTGTCTGCTGTTTGCTGCTGAGCAGGTAGAGGACAGTGTGTGTTTTTACAGATGTTTATCTGAACACAGCTGGATGAGAGTGAAGCAGAGCAGTGACAGATAAACAATGAGCTGAGAGTCACTGTAAAACTCTGTAAAGCTGAGGGAGCTGCAGATTCAGCTGATTATTCCTTTAATTAATTCATGTCATTTGATTCAGAGTTATTATACAAATATCACTTTTAGCTGCTTTGAATAAATTACTGATGAACCTATCTGCTCAATGCTCATTGGAAGTTTTCAAATGTCCAAAACTCAAAGACACTGAGTTTACAATCTGAGAAGCTGGAATCTGTGAGCGGCATTTTTAGGACTTATTTACTTTGAGGATTATTAATATTTTTTTGTCTGATTGATGAATCATTGCAGCGCTACTGTAGAGTCATGAAAGCTTTGGATGTGTCACCTCATCAACTGTCCAACACACTTAAACAGGTGAACATTCAAATGATTTCAAACTGTTGTATTTAAGATTTTGTATTTTACTTTTTTGCAATTGACTGTTTTAATGACATTATACATAAACAATAAACTTTTACTACATAAACACACTATAAACTCTTTGTGCAAAACATTTTATGCCTTGTTTTGAAACTAAGTTAAAATTCATTTTTCCTATTAAATAAATAAATAAATCAACTGATGTGTGTGACTGTGAAACTGGTCTGTGTTTGCTGTTCTCTGTGTGAAGTGGTTTCTGCTGGTGTTTTGACTCTGTGATAAACATGTTGTGCAACAGTAACTGGAGCTTCCTTAAAGGGAAACACCATGAAGGAAAAATACAGACAGTGTGGGAATTATAAGAAACACTAAATGTAAAGTGATGATAGGAATCTGCTTCATGCTGAATTCACTCCTGCGGCAGCTCAGTGCCAAAGGAGTTTCATCACAAGCTTCGCTTTATTATCGTTTCTGCAAGAACTTAAATTCATAAATAATATCTATGACATGTTGTTAGGGAAGTGAAAACCAAAGAGGCTTTAAAACAAGGAACTAGATGTGCTCAGAGGTCACAAGTTAAACTCAGGTTTAAAAAAAAAACTGGACTTTTCTGAGAATAAAATGTTTTTCAGTTAAAAGACGAACGTGTCGAGGTCGACTGTGGACGAGGTCTGGGCTTTCTATACGAAACAGAAGACGTTTGAGTTTACTGTGATTGAAAAGTGAGGCAGAAAGAATTAAGAATTTGTCACTTTGGCTTGAAAAATTAGCAACACTGAGATTGAAAGTGGCAGATAATTTACCACTGGGATATGTTGATTCTGATAAATGTCCTCAGGTGATGTCACCTGAGTCAGCGTGGGACAGGTGACTACAGGTCTTAAAAAGTAAAACAAAAACATCTGGGGGTGTGGAGTTAGAAAGAAGTGAAGCTACCAGACCTCTGTTGCCCCCCCCCTTCATCCCTACATCAGCTGCCACCCCAATCTACCACCAAACTATCAGAGGTTGAGTTGCATTGTGGGTAATGTAGGCGCCAGGTTTTGACAAGGAAGAGTGTGGGATGGGATGAGAAAGTTGTCTAGAGTCGAAACTCACGTGTCTTCCTCTGTACTCTCCACAGTCCGTCGCCACCTGGGCGACGCCCGGCGGCAGCGTCTGGGCCATGTAGCCCAGGTAGGTGGCGAGGGCGAGCAGGGAGAGCACGCCGACGCAGATGAAGAAGATGCAGCGTCTGGAGAGCACCAGGAAGGGGCTGATGTAGTGTCTGTGACGGGCATACTGCACCTCCTCCTCGTCCTCCTCCTGGACCAGGTAGCGGTACTCGGTCCTCTCCGGGACCTCGAATGCGTCCTCATTCATCTTCGCTCTGGGACAGAAAAAAAAAAAACCAACAGCAACAGGTGAACAGAAGAGCTCACCTCAGATCAAATCAGATTTACTGTGGCCGACAGGTGCACAGTGGAGCTCCACATGCTCGGCTGCAGAAAATAAAACACGTGTTGACATTCTGGATAACAAGTTCATTCCAAAGACCTGTTCAGCATTAATAAAAAGGTGTGTGTGTGTTTGCACACTGTTTCATAACCTGCCTCTCAGATAGAGGTCAGAGTGGACGGCTGGTGTTTGTCAGTTACTGGTCTCTGAGTCAGGAAGGAGCAGAGAGTCTAATCCTGCTGAGGACCACACTTTCATTTCTCATTCGCTCTAATCTATTGTTTCCAGAGTGGGAGGAAGTGCGAGACACAAAGACTCAAACACACGACAGACTGATCAAAAAACACCTTTCAATATAAACTAGTCCAGTACAACAACATCCACTGCCACCTGAATAATAAACATGGACATCTTTCTGACAGCGTCAACAAGAACAAAAGAGGATGATGGGTTGTATTGCATTCGACTGAACATGTGTACCTAATAAAGTGGTTACTGATATAATAAGACATTACCAGCAGACATTCATACTTTAGTTGTTGTTTTTTATGACGCTTTTGATGTAATTCAGTGTCTTTTTTACTTTACCTGCATCTTTACTTCATTAAAGGATCTCAGTACTTCCTGTAATGTGATTAATGTGTTTGTGTAATTGTGTTTTTCATTACTCTGACATGGTGTGCTACAGTATTTCTGCACGTGCATGTAATTTTCATGTCTATATTTATGTCATTAAATGAGTTAAATCTGTCCTGACAGGCGCATGAAGCCTGTCGTGATATTTCAGACTCTGTCTTCATTATAAACAACAAACAGTAAATAAGGTGAGTGGAGTTCAGGTTCAGGCAACACGCAAACACAAAGGAAGAGGGAAAAAAAGTGCGGAACAATAAGCGGATATATCAGGAAAAACCACCCAGAGGTTCAGTGTTCAGCAGAGGGAATTAATGCAGCTCAATTTTTAACAAATATAATAATAATAACAATAATAATAATAATAATAATAATAATGATAATGATAGAAATACTTGGTAAAATACTAAATACATTCAGTTTTAGTGTCAAACGTTCAGCAGCGTCTGAATATTCAAAGTCTGTCGTTTTAACAGACAAATGTGCAGCTTTAAAATAAAAGAAGAAGCGGATGAAGTTCGTAGATTTAACGTGTTTACATGTGAAGTGACTCCGAGTTGTTTTGTTGGATACCTCCATGTTTTCCGCTCACTTTCTTGCCGTTTCCTTTTTTTTTTTTTATTTTCCTTTTCAGATAAACTCCCGCTGACCCCTCAGACTGCTCCTCACTGTAACTCTCCGATATCTGAGAGCGAACACATGACAAATACGATGTTTCACTACTCACCATGTCCAACACACACACAACTCATGGAGGAGAAAAGTCCAAACACTGAAGTTTACGCGTTTAGTTTTCTTTTCTTTTCTTTTTTTTGCTCTGGGTGGAGCGCGCATGTCCTTTTCTCTCTGTTTTTGACTTTTAAAGAGACAGTGCACTGAGGACTGACAGGAAAACACTTACATACTCACAGTTTATAGCTCCATGTTTTTACCCCAGAAACCAACCAGGAGCTGGGCTGAAATGATTAGTTGATTAATCAATTAATTAATTGATAGTAGATTACATAAACTCTATAATATAGATTGTACTTTCTTGTATAATTTTGTTGTAGTAGGTTACTGTGAAAGAATTACAATTAAATGGTGTTAACAGTCACAAATTATATTGAAGCCCATGGACATTGCTGTGTAATACAAATTACAAATTGTAGTTTCATGTATGTGTACTAACAAACATTATTGTGGTGTGTAGGAGAAAATACTATAAAAGAGATTAGCTCAGTTTTACAGGTGTGTTATACAGGATTCACTAAAATACTTATTTCTCCTCCAACATGTCCATAAGTTTATTGGTACCTGATTCATACAATAAAATTACACTGTAAATCAAAATGAAGTGTTACCAATACCATCATAAAAGCCTTTAACCCTCACCAGAGGAACTCAAGAAAGGTTTGATTTCAGGGAGTGTTTGGGATAAATAAATACAATCTGAATTGACAATATGAATATGTTAATTTGGGCTTGAGGGATAATGACAGACATTTTTCACAATTTTCTGGCAAATTATACACTGAAAAATAAAATCAATCAATTATTATGGAAAGTAATTGTCAGAGGTAGGCTATTGATTATGAAAAGGATTATTGATTGCAGCCGCACAGTTCTCCTCTGATGGAATAACACTACATTTCCAAAGGTTTTCTGCCTGTTAAATACTTCAACAACAGAAAAAGTGGAATCAAAAGGATAAAACACAAATTTAAAACAAAGGAGCAACAAATATAAATTAAACAGTTCGGGTCTTAAAACTAGATTTTCTCTCTATAAGATCATAACCACACAATGACGAGGTGAAGTTGTACTTCACTGGTGCAAATTTCTAACAATTGTGCAATTAATCAAATTATGTCGAGCCATTTCTCACGTCTGTCTTTTTTATCAGTTGTGAATTGCAGTTTTATTGGTTTTTTTTACATCCTGTGAGTTTTGTCTTAAAACTGTCTCATTCAGCTGTCTGCACGGACACAATGTCCTCATGTAGATACTGGTGACGTGTGTAACCTCCGCTCGTCCATTTTCTTATCACCACTCACAGTCTGTGACTCTGGCAGCACCGACGTGTTCAGTTTTGATGTGATATGTTGGAGGACTTGTCTCCTCAACAACTGTTGCTCTGTGGAGCGGCGGCTTGTTATTTTGCAATCTTAAAATGAAATCATTAAATTCATTAATGAACAATGCCAGTAAGCTAGATGCTAATGCTAACATGCACCCCCCCACTTGTTATCTGCGATCTAATGCAATCATTAAATTCATTCATCAATGCTAATGCTAATGCCGGGGAGGCAGCTAGCTTGCCCTGAACTGGGCCATGCGCCAGACATACAATGCATTTACAAAGTATTCATACTTTATTTATTTATTTATTTATAAAATTTTCCTATTTATTATTCTTATGTTGAAATTGTTTAATTCATTCATCAATGTACAATGCAACACCAATAAAGAATGCGCCCGGCCATATGTATAGTATATACACACATACACATACACATATGAATATGTATAATATGTGGCTTGAATATTATAATTAAAACACTTGTTTGGAAACTTGCTGTCTCTGATTGTTGTGAAGGAACTCATTGACATAATGAAGTAATGAGGAACCATTAGTAACAACTCTGATGTATCACTTTACTGACCAAAGCTCTACAACTGTAAAATCAACCACAATATGCTGATGGATTTCACTCTAGTTTACAATGCAGTTCTGCTGTAATGTGCTGCAAATCACCCCCAAAGACAATAAAATACTGCAATAAACGAGTTTTGCATTAGTAAAAATAAAAACAAGACGTTGTGAATAAAACCGAACAAATGACCAGTGGTGAGGCAACACACAGACACTGTGAAAGACAAACTGCTTTGTGTACAACTTGGTGCTCAAAGTTCCCACACAGTGTGTGAAACTGAAGTTACAAGTAGAATTTTGACCCTATTTTTAAACCCGACTCTAACTGGACAATGACAGTCGGATCAGAGGGCAGGTGGTTCTGTTGCCTTCATGTCCACAGCATATCCTGAGAGGATTAGTTTAATTTTCTGCACTTTATCTGTGTACAGACGTTGACAAAAGCACTTCTTTCAGGGTCTTTGTGTTATCTCACAACTAATGTCATTTGTTCAAATTTAAAATCACATTGTCCTTTAACAAATACAAAGCTCTTCTACACCTCTTCACACATGCAAACTGGAATTTCTCATGCAGTTTTATTTTACAGGTTACGAAGGTTGATTCACAACTACAAACATTGGAATTATTTGTGAAAATCACTTTACAAGTTCAAAATCCTTTTGACTCTAATTTGAGCCACAGAGTGGCACACACTGTGGAAACTTTTGAGTACACAGACATGTCTTTTTTTTATGTCTTTGTGTAACCTCAACATTGATGCTTTGTTCATTTAACAAATACAAATCTCTTTGACACGAGCACAGCTTGAATTTCTCACAGATTTATTTTATAGGTTTACAAAGGATGATTTACAACTAAAAAGATTGGAATTATTTGTGAACATGTACAAGTTCAAAATCATTCTGACCCTAATTCGAGCCCATATACGTATGGGGTGTAGTCATTCGCATGAATTACCATTTCTTGATGGTTGTGGGGACCTCAATGTGGTTCTGGTCTGGGGTGGATTCTGGCGTCCCTATGAAAACACATAACAGTAAATGTATTAAATAAAATGACTTTCCATTGCAGGGCAAATAAGGACATTTTCTTTTGACTGTGAAATGTTTTTGAAGCACTCAAAGGACTTAAGAACATAAGATTTATCAATCATCCATTTAAACTTAACTTCTGTAAGAAAAACAAGACTGAAACAAAAACTGAACAAATGATATCAGAGCTGAGGTGAAAGACACTGTGAAAGACAGTGTCTTTTTTTCTTTTTTAAGTTATTTTTTGGGCAGTTTTTGCATTTATTTAGATAGGGACAGTGAGAGAGTGACAGGAAAGTTGGGGAGAGAGAGGGGATGACATGCAGCAAAGGGCCATGGGTCAAACTCAAACATTTACTTAAAATTTGTTCAAGCACAAACGCCAAAAGGTGACATTTAAAAGTAAAGCTAATAAAGGCTTGAGGTTTTTTTTTTTTTTTTTTTTTTATTGGAGCATGTCGGGGGAGTTTTTATTTCTTCAAAATCAATAAAGCGTTTTTCCAAAATCATTTTCTATTACCGTGTTCTTTGCCCACATTACATATTGATTACTCACACTCAAGTTAAAACAAAGACATTGAGCTTAACTTGACTGATATTAACACAATTGATGCATAGAAAAC